GAACTGACAAGTAACTCAGGCGCGAGACCTTCCTTAAAGTAGCAGCACTGGGCAAAAAGGCCTCCTCCGGCACACCGCTGCACGGTCATCAATGTGGCATTGGAGCTGTAGACGCCAGCAGAGTGAGAGGCGATGTCCTGCCTTACCGGTCAGCTATAAGTGGCAATTAATTAATGCGAGACCTCCCTTCTCAGAGCCGCGCCTGAGCCTGATTTCAGAGGGCAATTAGGTATTTTAAAAAAAGTTAAGAAAGGGACACAATTTACGAGATCCCGCGTACCAAGTATAATAACCACGATTAAATAAAGTACGTAAGTATGGAGAGGAGGAAGAGAAACCAGCAAACAAAAGAACGAAATATTACATTCAAAAAGCCAAAAGGGGGAGGGGATAAGAAGGAATGCAGAGTCCACAGCACATATCACAGATGATTGGCTCATTTGTTGGCTGGGTTTGGTGGGATTACGTAAGTGGCAGCTCTAAAGCACGATCTAGGCATCCAGCACGTGACCTTTTTTAGTGCTCTGCTGATCCGGATTGCCCAAGGGCGTGAGATCGGCAAAGAACTTCATCCACGCCTCAATGTCGCCCTGCAATGCAGAGGAGCAGTGTGGTGCGGTGAGAATGGAACTAAAAAGCATTTGATTGATTTAGCATGAAATTCATCACTCAGAGTTAGTTCTAGACACTTGCATCACCTTCGGAGGTAACTATGACGCCAAATTGGTGGCATATAACCAAAGATATTGGATGGTGATAATGGAGAAAAGGCATCGGCAGCGAATGGTGACATTCGTGCGGAAACATGAGGGGTTTTTGACAATGACCTTATTCTCAATGCCGCGATCATGCTATCCCATGTCATTTAAAAAGGAACTGCTTAAGCCCTTGGAACAAAGTACCAGTAGCCATCAAACCCCCAAATGACCTTAAGTCAAGCCAATCAAAAGTCGGCCTTCAAAGGGTTAGTTTCCCATTGGCCGGAAGACTAGCACCACTACTGAAGAGGCGTTTGGGGAAGCAGAGGAATTTGTAGCTTACTGATTCGGGTTTTTTGGGAGTGCTTGTTGGTTTTGCCGATGCTGATGGCTGCGATTTCTGCTGTGAAGGCGCCTGCAATCCTCCCATATCATGAGGCTGACAGATAGAGGGAACACAAAAAAACCATTTAAGGCGAATGACAACAAAAGAAACGCAGAAACACTTTTGCTGGAAAGGATTGAGCCAGAGATAACGGGGAGGAGGGGTAACTGATAGCTCACAAAATCGTTGAGCACTCACCATTTCCATTGGCTGTAATTGTGACGAACCTTCAGTACGAGCAGAAGAAAATACATCGGAGAGGTGGTTGTCCCAATTCACCCGGAAAAGGAAATCTAAAATGGATGTAATTGGGGGGTGGGGGATGAGGTAAGCACAAGAGATGTCAGAGCATCCTTCAGTACTGCGGAAGAGTTTGAGGTTATGGCTAGCCGATGTGTTAGAAATATTGTACTATGGAGGAATGCCTTCGAAATGTATTCGCCGATTCCTTCCAGTTGAGAAGGATTTCATAAAGGCTTTCAAAATAGATTTCAGATTATCGAAAAAATGTTGCTAGAGCATTTCCAAAGAAAATTATACTTCCAAATCATCGCATGGATCAACGAGCTTGCACAAGGAACTTTAAGGCACTTCAAGTAACATCTTTCAACAGTTTAAAATGATTAACAATATCTGCCCCAATTCCAACAGTTAACAACAATCCGATGTGGTCAAGAGAAGACATTTTTGATCAAAAAGAGAGGTCTTACCACCGCTACCACTGCCAACTGCAGATGTTCGTTGTGGCGAAGTCGGTTCATCAAAGAAGTTGGGTGTGTGTGCGCCCAAAGAGAAAATGTCCTTGAGAAAGTCAGCGTCTTCCGATGGTTTGGAAGCTGTTGGAAGAAGGTGGAAATCAGTGACCTTGAAGGTGACACTTTGAAGTCACTGGATTTTCTACGTCATGGAAATGTTGGAAGATATAAAAGAAATAATGGAGGTCATTTCCCTCTCACCAAGTCGGAACCGCTTCAAACAAAGTATCCACCACTTTCTCAACAAAATGATCCTATTCCATCCTCGGATACAAGGTATCTGCCTCCTTCAAAGAACCTATCCTTGGTGGAGGAAATTAAGGAAATTTCTATTCACGGGACCTGGAAACTGAAAAAGACAAACAACTTCCACGAAGATCGAACAAATCCTCTCAAACACTGAGGAATAGTGGTGTGGTAGGACGAGAAGTCAATTCTTGTAGAGAAGATCACGAGTCAGTCAGTACCCTGGAAATAACTGTGTTAATTTTCAGTCATCGAAAAGAAAGATCACCTCAGAAGTGGACTCATTACTCCGATAAATCTTGACCGAATTCCTATGTCTACTGAAGAAAACTCAGGCCGTCAAATGGACCTGACTTTTAGCTAATAAACATAAACCCGCCAGTCTTACTCTGCCTTTGCTACAGAGCTATCAAAGGTCATCAACGAAATCGAATCCTTCGCTGGTAATATCAATGTCCTCATTAACTCCACCTTCTGCATTCGGAGCTTTTTCAAAGGGCTGGAATACGTCCATCTCCTTGTCCTCCGACGTCGACGCAGAAAATAGATCATCAAGACTCTTGTCACTGCTGCCGCCGTCAACAGGGCCGGCATCACCCGTGGAAAATAAATTGTCCAACTGTTTATCAATTTCCTCTTCCGGCAACAGGTTTTCTGGCTGTCCGGCTGCCACCCCCGCTGGTGAACTAAAAGCGAAGAAAATAAACGAATGATCTACCAATTTGGCAGATGGCAAATTACTGTGGACGAGTTGGTAAACAAGGTGTTAGCGTCGGCCAGTCCATTCATATGCTACCTTCTAGCATCATTATGCTCGTCACCTCCCTGTTCACTTTCCGTCACCTCTTTAGCCGCCTCAATTAGCGAGCCCTCAGTGACATTGGCCACGTCATCGAAGCGACTAAAAGGGCAGTGGGACACTGACCAATAAGAAATTGGGCAAGAATTCGACCATAGGAAGGGTAATATCAGTCGAGGGATAAAAATGAACAAAAGGCATAAAGATTTACTTTCCACCAACTTACTCTTCATTGGCGTCAAAACTCTGGGAGGTCTGTTCGGCCAATTTGCGACTTTCTGGGGTCAAATCTTTAAGCAGAGCGAATTCGTAGTATTGATAGCCCTTGAAACTATTTGACACGGTTGTCATGGTGCTACAAGACAAAACAGTAATTAATCTGTGACTTGCTCGACAGCCAAATAAACCTGTAAAATTACTGAATCGAACGCGGTTAATAACACATTCCAACTTTCTTGAGCCTAGGAAAAAAACTCGTCTGCATATGTTAACGGGGAAGGGTCTAGAAGCCACATACATAAGCTCCGCATATCATGCATAAAGAGGTGACAAGAAGCGCGAAAGGCCACCAATGTGGTGTTCTTGACCTCGTTATAGGAAGTTAAAAAACACGACGTCGGGGAGGGACGCCCTGTCGACTTACTGCTTCATGACAAAGAATGGCTCTTAGTCCAACGATAAGTTGACAGACATCACCGTTATTCCTAACCCAACCCCACACTGCTAAGAGCCGCGCAATCTTTCACAAGAAGGCCGCATGCTTTGCCTGTGTGTGTGGTTAAATGTCAAAAATTGTGGCTGAGGACTATCCATTCAACAATGGCACAACTCAAATAGATGTAAACCTTCTACAGATCTAGTCAGAACTAGCCACCAGTTGGGAGAAGGTCTCATTTCTGCAAGACAACACAATACAACGTATAACCTCGCATTTCATGCATAAAACAAGCTCTACACTTCAATATGAGAGCGAAACCGCCTTTTTCTTCGAATAGGTTCATGCTCTTCCCTTTCCTTGGCAATAGGTAACCACATGTGAAGCAAAATGGACAGTTCAAAAATAGGAATAGATAGGCCCAGATTTTTTGCTATTCTATAGACAAAACGTTGTCTGAAAATGAGGTACGGAAGAAATAGGAGACTGCAGTAGTAATTATTCCAACCAAGAGGAAAAGCTCTGCCATCACTTGATTTGTTACAACGAAACTCACGAACGTAGCTGGTTGCTCTGCAGCAATGTTTAAGCATTCACAATTGAGGAAGACGAATTGCAGCAAAATCACAACCAAACTTCGAAATTAGTCAACAGGAGAAAAGATGACTGGAGATAACAAAATAATGCAGAAAAGAAATAACACAAAGGAGTAAGTAAAAGGAACGATGTGAATATGCAAATGACTACACTTCTGAGTGAATTGACGGGGCTTGAAAGAAAAAAGAAGAAAATTAGGCACAAGAAAGGCTAGCAATTTACGGCGCAGATTTTGAAAATTTCCAAGACATAATGGCAAAAACAAGGACGCTACGTGTACTCTAATAACAAGAACAATGAAAAAAAATCGGGTCTGGAACACATTTTGAGAATTGCAGATCTCAAAAAACCGTTAACCAAATAGAAAGTCGAAGGGTGCAGTTTACAGCTCTACTACCAGCAAGGGAGGAAATAAGTAGGCAACTAGCACAGATGTATAGATTGGAGATGCCAGTAGAATTGCATAATAATTCACGAGGTCTTTAAAATCAAGAAGCAACAATAGCTCGGTCAGACAACTGATTGAAATGGTAAAAGCCAGTATCACTGGACCTTGATCAAACAGTACAACCGGCTGGAAGAACTTACAACGCAAACAGTTTTGAAAATGCTAGTAATTTAATGCTATCAACCCCATTTGCCTCAAAATCTACCATTAGCGTCCTGCTAACGAAATCATCTGCACTGGAACAACTTTTGAGGATCTAGGAGTTGTAGTAAATCGTAACCAAAGAGGCCCAAAACTACTTGGCATAGCCAAATAAGTCACAGCAGAGCGAGGCAATGAGAAAAAGGAGGGTTCCACGTTCTCCTAGCACCTATTGCAAACCAAAAAACAAGGGAAGTGAGAAAGTGCAGCGGTAATTTACAAGCAAAAAACAGATTCCTATAGTTCCCGAGATAAATCATCTCAAAACCCTCAATTTTATGCGCGGGAAAAGAGACCCCATCTTAGCGGCATTTCACACAGTAGTAAGTGGTGAGGCTGTCCCACTAATGATGATCACCAGGTAGCTACTCGAAAGCAGTTGTGATGCACTTATGCAGCGTTGTAATGGATAAAGTTCCCTGTAAAACAAGAAACACAAATCTGCTGACATTTGTGCAAACTTCAAAATCGGTACAGTACTGGAACACACAGATCGACAGTGACGAGTCTCCCCACGGCAGCTCCCAGCCCATAATCAAACCCATGGGAGGCCTAACTACACGAACATAATCAAGGTAAAATCTACCTAATCTTACTGCAAGGATTGTACGCATAATCATTTATTTGAAAAGTTGCTAAAACACGCTGCCCTCAGATGCAATAGCCGCACTGATAATCTACCTGTATCAAAGCTTCTCGAACATTAATTGAATGTTGAATGCAGTTTTTACTCAGAGGAATTCGTTCTAGTCTTTTATGGGCCTAAAAATTAGTGACTGACTTGACTTGCAAAATCACGTCACTTTCTGAAAGATCAAAGTAAAACCGAGGAGGAAATAATGATGACACCCGCCAATATCAACATGACTTAATTAACTAGTGATAACAAACCGAGCTGTGCGTTCCCAGAACTGAAGCAGAGTATCCTGGTAGGCAGCCAGCACATGGCTTAGCATATTGCACCGACTGGCGGCCAGCAAATCCACTTTCTGCATGCAAGTTAGCTTAAGTCGGTCAAATACGGCTTTCGACTTCTTAACCTGCATCTGAACACGTCGAAATTTGTCCAGTTTTTTGTACATATCCGGGTCCAACTCCTCGCTGACATTCTTCATCCACATCAATGCTCCGCGATAATCCGTTCGAGCCGATTCCATCCTCGCAATTGTACTAGCAGTATCTCCAATGGCGCGAGCACGGAACGTTTGGACTTCCTGTTCGAGGCGACTCAAAGGATTTTGAAGAATAAGTCTAAAAGTAGTTAACGTGAGGTAGGAGCTCTCACCTCTGCTGGGCTGAGTGGGTTAGGGCTTTACCAACAGCAGAAAGCATTTTCCCTGCTCGTGTTTTGTCTTCAGAACTGCGAGCGTTCAGAAAACGACCGGTATCATTTTCAACTTGGGAAAGAACTTAAATTTTCGAATATAAAAATTTTGCAGACTGGTTTACCGAAAATACAACGCAGGTAGGTCTCAATGCAATTGCTCAGATCCTGACAAGTCCTCTGAACAGACTTAAAAAGCTGAAAAGAATAAGCACAGTATGTAGATAAAACCTACTTCAAGCTTAGCGTCCAACTCGGCATCTGAGGCTATGATGTGTCGATCTTCTTCCTTACCAAGCTTGCGAATAACCGCCTGTTTGGTCGACCAGTAGGCACTTTTCAACTTGTGTGAGGTGGAATCATCAATGTATTCTCGATAGCGATCACCAGAAGAAGTGTGGTACATCTCGACTGATGATGACGTTTATGTACACGATGCCAATCACGCAAAGCCTATGTGCACGCCAACAAATCAAACATATCATCTTCGTATTTGGTCAATGCCATTTTGCCAACAGGCAAGTCTTATAAACGCTGGGTTGAAAAGCTGCCCAAAAATCAATTAGTTTAGCTTAAAAGCTTCTTTGTTACTTTTTTTGAAATTGCCACTGGCAATGCGATTTTGTTATGATAAAATACGTTAAGCAATCACCAATGCATAAATATTTAAACCATCATGTAGTACGTCAGTTGTTCATCTAGCTATTAGTTTTATCAAAGGGTCACTTTGTGTCTTGAGCATTTAACCTCACCGGGTAGGCTGGCCTCCTGGCCATGAGTGCATCCCCTAACACTTCCTACGATGGATGTATATGTTCCGCCTGAGTAATATCTGCATTTTAGTTTTCAGTGAAGTCTCAAAGTGCTGCATTAGCGGCAGCGAAAGACAAACCCTATCTTAAAGGACGTACGTCCTGATTTCTTCTGCCGGGTAAAAAGTTAGCAAGGCGGAAGAAGTACATATGCTACAGAGAGAAGAATAGGTGACGACCATAAGCAGGAGGACTGAAATAAATGGCAGCCTATAGCAGCCATCTTAGTCCCATATTGTAGAAAAGCCATTAACAATTGCAATGGCAATGGCTGTGAACCATCTGAAAAAGTCTGGTAACAGATTTCTCCTACCCTATCCGCGTAATGATGCAAGTAAAATGAACTCGTGGTATCTCGTTTAATTCGCTGCTAGCTAGACAGAGCTTAGGTAGACGTGACTGTGCACCTCTAAAGTGATAACAATTAGGCAGTGGGAACAGACGCGGAGACTTTCCTCCACGGACCTGGCCTAAATTACGCCTTTTCTTAAATAAGTTTGCTTTTTAGGCCAATGTTCCAACATCTAGCTATGGACATGAATGATGGCCTGCACAAGTTCCGATCTTCAAATTCAGTTCCAAAATCGGAAGAAATCCCGGAACTAGTAAAATTGTCATGGGGAATCAGTAACGTTACAGTGAAGTAACTACTCAATTGCAAATAAATTTCGCAGCTGCGATGCCAGGTTTTCTGTTCTAACCTTACAGTATCAAATGCGTTTTGATGTCTGAGGCGAAACGTTGACCATGGGTAGCGTTGAAGGCGACGCTCAAAATGGGGTGTTCTATGCAATGTTTTCGTTGGTTTATTACTTGTTAGTCTTGGAAAGAGGCTGCTGTGACACGACAATGTTCATCCTTTGGTAATGGCAAAGGGCAGCTTTGACTTTTTTCTTCGTACTCGTTACAGTAAAGTTTTAGAGGGATTATCCAAAATAAAGACCCTGAGCAGTACTACAGTCATCTTTATGCACTTTTAATCTGTAAAAAAGATGAACAGTCATCACAGGTAAGTAATCCGTTTCTTTCTAAGTTTTCTAGGTTTGTTTGATTACATGCATCTTGTCTAATTTCTGAGAAGCAACATTTTTCAACCGCGCCTGGAGTTGGTGTGTTGTATGTCACGTTTAAGGTCTTTGCATTGCTACATTCACTTGATGTTTCCATGCCTGTTTTTTTGGATTTCTGGGTCTAAACAGTAGAAGACTCTTACATTTCACCAATGTTAGCACCATGATAACCCGTATTTGATTTATTCGTCCCCTACTAGTGTTGCTGTGTATTTTTGCCACTATGAGGTTCTCATTTTATGGACGTTATAATTTTTGATTCACTTACTTTTTTAATTTAGTGTATGTCAACTTCACGTAAAAAAGACCTGCGACTTCACGGTGGTTTACGTTTCGGTGGCTCTCATAAAGTAAGTTCTACTTTTTGATGCGACTGATTCTGACTCAACTCAAAATAATTGGTGATCTACAATGACCGTTTTTTTACTTGTACCTTTAACTCTTTTCCTCAGTGATTTCAGCTTCTCTTAAAGTTTTAACAGTCTTTCCTGCCTGTATTTGGTCCATTTGTCAGATGAGGTATGGCGTGTTATCATAAATCTGAGTCTCCTGTTTTTCCTAAAAGTATTGTAAGGGATGTGCTGCAGTTATTAATGTTACGATGGTACTGGCAAATGTTTGGGTCATTGGAAGCACAGTGATCCTAATGTCGCGTAATCAAAACCTTGGCATATCACAGAGTCTTCTTCTCTCAAGTGTTGTGACCATATTCAATCATCGTCTCGGTGCGTTTTCCACATGATTTTGGTAAAAAGCACGTCTAAGTTGCATTCATCATCGCCATAGCAACATTAATCGCATCAGCAAATGTGTTTAAACTACTCATCTTTTCCTGAGATAGGACAATAAGGCAAGTATAGTAGCGCGAAGACTAGGCGTGATCCATCTGTGTTTAAGACTCATTATCTGATTCTGTTTCTGTTAACCGTTGTATATACACTGTAAATACCAAATACATCTTTGTTTCTTCTGTTCTACTTTAGGCCAATGTAACCACACCCCAACCTTTCAGCTTCGTCTCCAAAGATGTGAATCTCTACCAATCCCGTCTTCAGCGTGAATCTGCCGCCTTTGAGGAGTCTCGTCGTCTTGCCAACTCGTTTCGCGCGCAGCCGATGCCCCTCCCCAGTGCTCCTGTCCTTCCAGAACCGCGTCCCTCAACCCTCACTTCCCCTCACTCCCCACTCTTGAAGACGCGTCACCGGGCAGCACGACGAGCCAGTTTTGACGCTCATGTTGAAGCTCGAAGAGCCTCTGCTCAGCGTCAACTTGAGGCGATTGAGAAAGAGAAAGCGAAGGAAGAAGCCAAGCGGCTAGTGGAGGAGAGGAAAGCGCGAGTAGTGCGAGCGGCACCGGTGCGGAAGTACCGATTGGTGACACCATCAGCAGTTCCGAGGCCGGTGACGAGGTCGATGTCGTTTACGTTTGCTACTGAAGCAAGAGTAGAAGCTAGGAAGAGACGGCTGACGAACGAGATAAAGCCGAATGAGAGGAAAGTGCTGTAGCGTCCCCTTGGTTGACTTTATTGTCTTGCTACCTGTTAACTTCTTCCTTCTTGAAGCTCTTCCATTTCCGTACCACGATGCATATAGTGTAATTTTGAGTAGGTAAATTTTTATAAAGTAATGCCTCGGTATGCGTTGTTTTTGTGGCGGGAGAGGGATTTATGCAGAAATGCCTTACAGGGTAGTGTTTTGTTCAGTAGCTGGTGCAGGCTTGACACCGTCTGTGTCTGGTTTGTTACTGAGTGGTTGGGGTAAGGTCGGGAATTCCGTGGCGTCAACGTCTGTTGGGGAGGAAATTGAGGTCGAACCGTAGGTGGACTTACCGAGTAGTACATCATGGTGCCTGTGGGAGCGGCTGAGCCGACTTGGGGCAGCCTCCCTTGCTAAATCATCGGTGTCAAGCTACCGACTTCTGAGATGCTTTTGCCGCGGTTCAGCCAGCTGGGTGCTCTGGTAGAGAAATCCGTGGTCACCTGTGTTTACCGACCCCTCATAATGATTAGTTCTGCGCAATTTTACGTCATCAGGTTCAATGTTGCTTTGGAAGTACATAGATTTAATGGCCATGAAAAAGGCCGCCGAGGCTGAACGCTGCGCTTGGAGTCATCGGCGTTCATCATCACCGCTGACAGCATGCACTATTTGCTACTTTTTTCTACTTATGTGGCGTCGTATTATCCTTTCTATAAATAGAGATAATAAAGTTGCCTCGCCCATTCTAGAGATATTTATGCCCCGATTTTCCTTAGCCACCTCCAAATAGAGCCGTGGAATTGATAATTGTCGTGTATTGACAGAGCTTGCCTACACATTATCGTAGAAAACTTTGCGGGATGAATATCAGTTTTCGTAGCAAGTCAAAAAAATTAGCATTATAAAAGCGCAAAAAGTTGGCTACCAAACCGTGCTGCAACTATAAATACGGTGGACCAAGCCCGACGCATATATGTGGGGGCTCTTTGCATTACACTAAAAACCTAGGTGAACCCTCCTTTTGACTATTCTGCTTGTCTAGCAACAGTTCTCACCTATTGTTATGAGATTCAGGAAGAGAGGAAGGACATCTAGGTGATTTCTCCCTCAACTGTGGTGCGACCATACCAATATAAAAACTTGGGGCTTTCCCAACTCTTTACCGATAAGAAAATATTGTATTACAGTCCAGCAGACTAGGTTGAGAGGAGAAAGTAGAAAAAAAGAGGCTTAACATCATCAAGGTCCTAATGGGTATAAAAAATCTAAAATTTAGAAGCAAAACTTACTTAAAAGTACTAAACTGAATCTGCACGTAAAAGAACTAACTCCTAAAATGCAAAATTAACGCTTTACATTAAAAAAATTAAGTTTTTAGAGAAATGCCAGTTTTAGTTAAAATTATTTGTGATTGAAGTCTGAATATTTAGTAGGCCTTTTTTTGTCACAGAAAAGCCTCGGCACTAACGCGGTTATTCCCAGTTAGTGTGTATATATGCTAGGGCAAAAGACGTGATGGTTGGGATTCAAAAAGCACGCAAACTGCTGCCGATTATCAAGTATTTTCGCTCTCCTCTTGCACTTAATGATCTCACCATCAACCGTTCCCTATTGGAACAGATAAATTTAAAGCCTGTTAAAAGCATTGAGTTCTCGTTTAGCCCGTTTTTCTCGCATACATATTCGATCCGGTAAGCCTACTATTTCACTTTCCTAAGTTTAAGACAAGTCTGCGCCCTCCTATATAGGCCTCGGTGGCGCAGTTCTAATGACAATTGCACTTTGAAAGTCAATGTACTAAGTGACAAATCACAGCCTCAAATCCAGGTCACTTTCAGTAAGCTAGTTTATTCTCTTGACTGGACATCATTTGCAGGCAACGGCTCTGTTTTGGTAATTAAAACAGCGAATCTTACGGATCGTGAGGTTTTGGAGTTCATAATGATTGAGTGCTCACGAAACCTACAAACCTAATTATTTCATTACTTTAAATAAATGATTTTTGTCATCTTTCTTCACTTTTACCAAAGTATTTTTGCGAGACAGTTATCTTACTGCCTCGTTTGTCTGTAGATGGAGGTCTGTGAGTCAGCGAGCGGAAGTAGTGGAAGTGAAATTGAAATGGATGAAGGTGTCGTTGAATATTACCGCTGCCTTTTGTGCAAGCACGAGACAACAAAAATCTCGGAATTTTTTCAACACCTGGAAGATATCCACCACTGGAAGCTACAAAATGAGAAGAAACTCTTTACTAACCAGTACACGTGGATTGCCTTCGTCAATTGGTCTCGTAAAAATGGACCTTCCCAATGGAATGATTTCCTTTCTTTAAGTGAAGAAGACCGACAGCCATACCTGCAACCTTTCATTCAAGACGACCCAGTATTGATGATAGGTATGTCTGAATCTATGTCTGAAAGAGAATATTCGGCTTCTTTGTAGATGTGGAATCTTTTATCAGCGGTTCGGATGACACATCAGACGATGGTCAACGGACTGTTGATGATCTACAACAAAGGAATGAAGATCTTCTTTTTCAGCTTTCAAAATGCAAGTATGTGTTGTAATGACTCAACTCTAAAAAATAGACAATTGATTGGAGAACTTATGAAACGTCCTAATTTGGAGTACTCTCAATCCCTTCCCGAATCAAACCACGTTCATATGGGCTATGGTCTGAATAAACGCCTTTTCTGTGTTGCTTTGAGACCCATCCGTTTCTTTCGTAAGCTAACATTTTGGGTACTTGATTTCCTTTCATTAATAGTTGACAAATTGGTGCTGAAAACTTTCCGAGATTTCATAAAGCAAAACCATGGGGACCGCATTCTAGGTAAAGTCGTCCTGAATCTCTTTGAAGATGCTGGGGTGATATCGGTTTTTGCGGCTAAAGCCGGTGCCAAGCGTGTTTTTCTCCCGGTATCACCGTTTGTTGAATCTGCTAAAGCTCTCGCTAAGTGCGTTTCTAGCCTTTAAAGTGCTCCACACCAATGCCTTCCAAATAAGATATTTGTTGCTCTGTAGGTCCAACAACTGTGAGGAGAAGCTTGAAGTGGTGCCTAGCCTCTCCTCACTTCCAGTGGATCGAATTGATGTTTTGTTTTGGGATTGGTTGGGTGCATTTCTTCTCAACTCCGACCAATCAGGAATCACCTCTCTTATCCAATCAAAAATCGACGTGGTTTATCCTCGAACTTTGTATCTTGATATCGTCGGAGTTAATGTGAAGCAAGAGGTTGTTAAATGCCTTGTTCCGTCGTGTACTTTTGAGGACTTGAACACAGCCCCCCTCACTGACGCTGCTTATAGAAATGTCTACTCCTATGATTGGAGTTGCGATTTGCTAACACCTGTGACTAATATCCAAATGGTTGTCACTGTGGATATCCAGAAAACGGCTAGTTTTCTGTTTGAGGAAAAGGACATCTTACTTGCCTTTAGCACAGCTGCAAAAGTGAATGGGCTGTTGATGTACCTGCGCTGTGAACTTGATGGAAGTAAGTGGTCATTTTCAACAGAGGATTCCGGATCGTATGGACAGTCTCTGATCCTTTTAAAGCGCCCGATTGATGGTCTGCCGGATCAAGTAATTAGAGGGTCGATTGCGAGAAAATCGCTTGAGAGGTTGTCTGTCAGCCTTCAAGGTCCGCATTCCCCCAACCCTATCAGTGCGGAATTTGTTCTACCACCACCGGCAACTAAGTGAAACCAGTTTATCTTTCCTTTGTAAATAAATCCTGTATTTTGGCGGCTTCCCCCTTTTCTGCAAAGTGTTTTACCCCTTAATAAGTTCCAGCTAAAAAGGATTTTTCCTGCTTTGACAGGAAACTCGTGATTTTTTGACGGACGATTTTGACCACAAGTCGTGGATAAATCGGACCTTGCAGTCGGTTGCAAATGATGCAAATGCAGAGGCGGCAATATCGTCACTCCTCCTCACTGTGCAGAGGATGTTAGAGGCATGTTGGTATTTATCTCCTCACTTATTCCTCCCCTACTTGTTGGATGTTCCTGAGAATGCTTCGTGGCAAATAATTGCGTCTGACATAAAAGTTTTGTTTGCTTTTAGACGGCAAATCAAGAAGTGGAGAATACTTTCCGCGAAGTGGCTCAAGCTATTCCAAGGTGAATTTTAAGTAACGCGTGTGTTTCCGTTGTTAAATTCGCTGGCTTATTTAAAAGTTTATCTGAATCTACTTTTTTTGTCCGAATGACTTAGTAACGTGAGTGTCCCACTCTATTCCCTTGTCTATTTGTCTCTCACCCAAAAATCCACTTGTTCACCCTGGATTCTGCACCCCCTGCATCTATCTTTCCATCCTGATTCAGTGCGCACCTTATTCGGTTTCAGTTCATGTTTTTGACTATCCGTATTATATCAGATGCACTTATTTACTTAGTTCTTTCCTATTCATCCTTCTACACAAACCTCTTCTTTCGTTCATTCATCAACAAACCCGTCCCTCGTTTTCTCACAATCTAGTTTAGTTGATCGAACCCAGTGGCGTACTCCAAGCCTCATGCAATCCTCACTGTGCTACTTTCGTTCTTCCAATGCACAGCTGTTCCAGGTCATCATCCACCCCATCCATTACCAGCACCACCGCTTTAATCTGTCTTTCACATGGCAAGCGGATTGCATGCCCTCACTTGTATGGTTCAGACTGGATTTAAAGTGCCTGCTAAAAGGGCGTGGTGCTTCTCAATCCCCCCATCCATTGACGATTCGTGTAGGCATTCCTATCCGAAGTATCATGAGTAGTCAGAATGATGCTGCTTTTGATGGGTTTGCACACTTTTTTTCTTAATTTTCTCTCATTCTCCTCGGTAGGATCCTTCGCAATATAGAATCTGTCAATCAACAGGCCATTCTTCTCAGAGATCATATGGACAGTGTTGAAAAGGACTTCCGAAATGTGTGTTAATTTCGCTAATTACTTGGCACTTCCTACTGAAGCGCATTAAGTTGTATTTTCTACTGACAGATGCACTTAGATGACAGCGGCGTAATTCGTGAGTTGGAACGACTCGATTGCGAACGTCAACGAGCCAAGAAAGCAGCCGATGCATTGCGTGAGGCCAATAGGTGGTCAATGTTGGTGAATTCAAGACAAGCCCTTATGGAAGGTGATGCGAATGTAGATCAATTGTACCAACTCATTCTCGATATGGATCAGAGCCTGGTTGGTTGAAAAGTTGCCCAAGAAGTTTTCTACTCAAATGGGAGAAGTAAATGGGTTTTTTCTCCCCACCGTAGGTCTACTTGGAGCAGATGCCGGACTACGCCGACCGAAAGGCCCTCCTGAATGCCACCAAAGATCGATTGGAGACCCTGGTTGCGCCGCAGTTCATGGAACTTCTGGATGCGATCACGCAGTCCACTGACTCCCGATTGCCTGAACAATTGCAGCACATGATAGCAATTTTTAGTGGATTAAATAGATCCTCTGTTGCTGTACGGTATTACGTCACTTGGCTGGTGGTACGTTTTTTGCTCGCCTACCTAGTGAATTTATCCTCTCGTGTTCTATTCAAGGACTTGGTTCTTCCTAGAACCGCATGAAGGAAAATTGGGACAACTCAAACTGTACCACAATGGAAGAAATCCCATTCTTGGATCAAAGCGTTGGTCGAGTCCATCGCTACTTTTGTGATGTCATCACTTTTCTCACCGATCAAGTTCGTAGAATAAGTTCATCATTACTTAATTCTTTATAAGAGGACGTTGTATCCGGGTTTATCTTTCTAGTTGGAGCTTAAATTATTCGCAGACGAATCCCAGGTGCCACTGCTACGGGCTTTGACCAACGCCTTGGAAACTGCATCTGCACAAATTACACAATCCCTCTTTGAGGAGTGCGACTCTCCAACGAGTCGTCTTCATCGATGTGCTGAAATGTTGAAGGTATTTAACTTGAAGATATCTGGAATAATATCTTGGCAAGAAACTGGTTTTCTTTCCTGTTCACGCCTGATTGCACTAGCACTTTCTCTTTGACTCTTTAGGTTTCTGAAAATTTCGCTGATCAGCTTTGTCATCTTTTGAAGCCTAATGGTTAGTGACTCTTTCAAGTGTAAATGTTAACTTCTTGCTCTTTGGGTGCTTCCACGTCGTGTCGCTCCCTCAACTTTTTAGACGATGCCAAACTAGAGCTCTGCTTCGACGTTGTTCGAAAATTGTGCCTGCCTTTTTCGGCTATCAGTGAAATCTTCAAAAGCTACGCGAGTGAAAACTTGCAGGAAATATGCCATATCATCAAGCCAACAGTAATTTCCTTTTTGCGTCTCTTATCTCATTCGGAAACTGCAAATCCGCCTGTGCATTCCTAATGGTCTACATTTAAATCAGGCGGTCACCGGTGACCAACTTGAGTTGAATCATGTCTGATTTTTTGGTTCAATTCCTCCTACTACGCTCAATTCTACTCACAAGTTTCTTAAGTAACGTAATCCTTGACTTTCATTCGTAGTCTACCTAATCCTGATTGCTGCATCCTACATAGATGCAACCTACAACTGGAGTCTACCCGTCCCATGTCGAAATGGTGCTTTTTAAAGAAACCTTTTTGTCTAGTTATCCTCACCTGAGTGTCCTCTGCGTCCTTATCTGGCACCCGCTTGAATCATTGTTCTACCAAGTAAGGGAGCCCTTTTCTCTGATTATAGTACACAAATGAGTCAATCATCCTAGATGATCTTCAAACGACCTCTGACCGACTGTCTGAATGCCTTGCTGATCTCTTGACTTGTGCTGTTTCGCTGACAAAAGGAATCGCACTTGCAAGTCTGTTAGACGCAGTTCACGTACGGAAGTTTAGATCAATGATTTTTGGCAATTTTTTTGCTTTTGCTTTAGCTTTTTGCAAGCGTTGTTTCTGCTTTTCGTAACTGGCGTGAATGACTTTTTTTATGGGTAGGCAGCGTTGACATTAATGTTTTAACATTTTATTCTATTAACTATACTGCAAAATTGATTCTACTTAAATAACTTCAGTAACATTTTAGGATGCAACTAAACTAATGGTGGAGAAATGGGAGAATGCGTTGAAATCCTTTGCCAACCACCTCATTGAACAGGACAGAGCAATACACTACAAGCAGGCGTGTGGAACGAAAACTGCACTTCTCCTCGTTTCTGCCACTGGTATCTAATCAAATCCTCTTTTATCCGATAATTCTGTCTTGATGCGTCTAATTAAATGACGAATTCTTGAATAATGGCAAAAACACCGCTTTTAAAATAGCAAGCAGAGTCCAATCGCACGCAGATATTTTCCCTTTGCAGAGTAAAATCTGTGAATAAGAACATAACAGTCTTAGTAGAATCTCAAAATATTGTGTTTACATGTCTGTCCTCATCTTTGCCTTGTTGTTTCAAATTAGGAGCCTTGTCAATGAAAATTGGGGACTTCGTGAAGAAATTTGATGGTCATCTTGGGAAGGTTTTTTCCTCCAGCGAAAGGTGGGTGAATCTGTCTTCTGTCTGTGGGCTCATTTCGGAAATCACCCCATCAGAATTGAAGCGGAGATAAAAGATGTGAAGTTGTAGACATTAAAGACGATTACCAGAAAATCAGTGTGGAATTATTCCTTTTTTGGCAATAAGATCCCAACTCATCGTACATCGCGTAAACTTTTCCCCCTTGACCTTAAAGTTTACCTTCCGGTGAAAGCTTTTGTGGCTTCTATGTGGACAATATTGGCCCACTTGTGATTTTTGAGATCTTAATTCCATTCGCTAATGGATGAAAAATCTGCCTTTTTTGCCCCTCGATTTTAGCAAAACCGGCGACTGTACCAGCTCTGTCTGCCCATTTCACTCCCTCCTCTTGCCTTTGATTGGTGAATCTCAGCCCTGTGCCGATTGGTACTTTCTTCTGCCTCATGCGCCACAATCTGATTTGCTCAAAGCCCCAGCAGCCGATTCCTCCAATCCTATCACGCCAAGTAGTGTTCTCCTCAGTCGATTGGCTGATCTCTGCAAGGCCTCGGTTGCCATGTCACAACGCGTTGCCATGACACCTGTTCATGCGATTTTGGCAGTGGTGCCGAAAATGACGCTTTGGGCGTCGCATCCGGCTAGTGGTGAGGCGAAGCTACCTGACTTGGCCTATTTACCTCAGGAGTACATAACGCAGGTGAGACATTGCTACTTAAAAGGCAATAAGTAGATACCGTCTACTATTTATTTTATTCCTTTTTTAGGAAACTTGAATATGAAAACACTTTAGCATTATCATTTAAGGAAGCATGGCTTTTTCGTCGACTGACCATTTGAGTTGATTGACGCTTCACATTAGCAACTGTTTACGCTCCTACGAGTGTACCACTAATTTCAAATTTGAGGTGCTTTTAAATCACCAAGCGTAACTCATCGTTGTCCAACTTATATGAATGCTCAGTCAAATATCCTCATCACCGATATTTAAGCGTGCTACTAACCTAAAAAAGGGTGGTTTGGGGCCCTTGAAATTGCGTTTCGTGTTTGGAACTCGAACTCGTATGATAGAAGTATATTAGCCTTCGAAATTGCAACTCAACGCTATCATTTTGATGCTTACGTATGCTGCCTTTAATCATTTCTACCCCACTCAAGGCCTTTCATATTCCTTGGTTTTAAAGCCTACTGATTTTGAATTTCGGGATGTTGATGTGCGCAAATCAGGCTTTTTGGTTCCTACATTCAAGTTTAATGCTGAGTTCTCAAAGAAATTTGCTGAACTTTTTAGCTCGGACAGTACATCTTCAACCTTCCCGAGCACCTCCTTCCCTTTATGGATACTAGTGAGGACGTTAATTCAACCAGCCTGGAACAGGGTGCAGCCCTAGTCCACTGCCTTCGTCTCACCGATCCTTGCACATGTAACGTTTATGCCACCGCTGGCAATCGGCCCCGTTTAAGCTCTGGTGCGGAGACCATTTCGTCGCCTTCCATCATAACAGCATGGCTTGATTGGCTGCTAAGTGGACAGGTGGCAGAAGCATTTGTCAAAGTTATTTTAGAGATCCCTTCACCGCTACAAGTGCCAAATAGTGATGGCAAATCGTCACCAGGGCTAACTGCGCATGGTGCGAAACAACTGCTGACAGATCTGGGTTAGTATTATTTAACTTTGTATCCTAGTAGTAAGCCAAAAGTCAACAAAATGACACGTTTTGGTCTTTCTAGATTATTTTTTGGCTCTGCTAGAGGAACTGGGCCTACCGCGTCCGGGAGATTTGGCGTCTCTTCGTGATCTTATAAATGCGTCGCCGGAGGAATTTAAAGGTGTTTCAGAGGGAAGGTCGCCACGGTTAGTGGGTGGAGTGATTAATCTGCGAATGCTGTGATCTGACTCATTAAACACATTCTCTTTGTAGTTAACTTTGTGTGGTAAATAAATTCCAATTTCTCGATAAAGCCGTTTGAGTACACCCTTTGGCGAAATGTAAGACGGTGCGCCCTATGGGGGTTTCGCGCGTGAAGGGCGTTTGTGAAGTCCATCGACGACGGTGTAGTCGTACAAGATTGTCCATTTTCACCTTAAAATACTGATAGGTGCGAATGCCAAAAAGGACATTTTTAAAGGACTAGTCTAGTTACACCACAATAACGTCAAACAGGGGCATTGTAGAGTATCCTATTATGTGCGTAAAGGACCTAATTCACTAAATTTTTTTCTTAAAGTGCTTTGAATCTAAATTGTAAGGCGCAAACCAGTTTTTGTACAAGTCTAGAAATTACAGAAATGGTACTACTTATATAATACTTATGTTGTTTTAATGTGCCTTTCAGGGAGGAGGCAAGCAGGAAATTCGAACCTGGTAACTGGATCGCCCTCTCCCTTACCTAGTGACTGCGGTTCCCCTCCTTCTTGAATATTGTATTTTCCCTATACATCTTGTCGTCTTTAATAAAGGTGTCCAAAGCAAGCCAATCGGGCTTGTCTAGGAACGCTAGGAATCGGGAAGCGGAGACCGAGGAGTCTCGTTCCACAACTTATGTACGAGTTGTGTGGCAATAGCTGCCCAAATCAGACCTTAGTTTCAACAATTATAGGATCCTTCAATTAAGTACGGATGAGTAAAACGCAAAGCAAAATGGTTCATAATTTAAAGAAGTCAAGTATTTAAATACCTCTTCTAGTTCATGAATATTGTCGAAGGTGCACTTATCACAGAGATATGGCAAATCACAAAAAACAGTCAGTTAGCTGTAAATTTATTTACAAATAATTTTCTTTATGTTCTATCTTGAGGTTCCTCATTTCTTATTTAAAGTGTGTCTTTGGATTTTCTTTGAATTGGTCAACTATTATTTATAATCAGCACCGCAACTTTACAAGTCATTTTTAGGGATGTAATTAACGCTTTGTTTCCAATGCGAATACTTTCCCACTATATAATTGTAATTTTGCTTAGTTATTCAGGTATGCAACGTAACCCTTCCATATTTTAGGCTCCTGTATGGAATGCTACGTTTGTCATAACCAGGAAGGGAATAAAGACAAATGTGTTAAAACTTCGATGCAATGCCTGCAAGATGAAGATACTTGCTTGATCAACATATCATATACTGGCAAGTTTTTCCAAATGTATGCTATGCTGCTTATCCACGTGTTTTTTACCAATCGCTTATAGGGTGAATAGTGAATTTTTTATATTCTTTGAAATCAATTTGACATTACGCTGTGATTTGTAAAAATTCATTTTTAAGAATTTACATTTATATTTTGCAAAAAAAGCGGTTGCTTTGAAAATCAAAAGTGTGGCTCAACTTAATTATCTCAACATACTTGACGTTATGAAGTCTTTTTGCCTACCAAATACTCCAATTTAATGGCTTTTTCAGCTTTGTGCATGGTGTGCAAGGTTTTAGTTTGTTTGGCTTTTTGGGCACGTGTTTTCTCTTGTTCTTCTTTTAACCCATCAGCTGTTTTGTCCAAATTAACTTTTATTCTTCCATGGTAAATTTATTCGGCTACTGATATAACGCGACTGACTCCCCTTTATGGTATAATCACTATCATGCTTAGACCTAGTACAAGTATTTCGGTGGTGAAAGAGATGTATGAGTTATTTGTCAACAGTGCTTGTGACTTAATAAATAACTTTAAAGAACATGCCCTTGCACGAGAATTTGGAAAAGGATAGATATTGTTTTGAAAGTAATTCAAATACTTATAACTTTGTCTAACGGATTTTTAAGGCTGGTAGTTCACTATTTAAGACTTTTAGATACTGTTTACTTTCCCAGTTGCAATTACGTTTAGATACCAACCGTATGGATCCCTGACCTAACACTCCTTTGAGTTCGGTAGACTGGTTAATTAGCTTATGGAAGGAAAATCGCAATGCAATGAACGATCAAGTAGATATAGAATAGATAGATTGATATTTAGACCCCTAACCTCAAGATAAATGAACATAAACAATAAGCATGGATCACAGAATGGATAAAAATGATAGAGTTTAATTCGGTAGAGAAATGGATGGTAGATGGACTTCTACCGAAAGACCGGCATGCTAAATAAATAAATATGGATAAATATACTTACTAACGTCAAATTTTTACCTAAAGAAAATTTCTGTCATGTGAAGAATTCTAATTCTCACCACTTTATCCTCACCATCTCCAAACCTTTAATAGTGCCTCCCTACTGGGAGCCCTTCGGCGACCGGAAGCACTTCTTGTGGAAGTCCTGCACCACTGCAGCTGCCTGCGAGGCGGAACGGAAACGCGCTGGTCGTGAGTGTATGCGCGAGTGGTACATGGATTGGCGCTGTGTTGAGTGCTGCCAGGGTGAATTATGTAACTACTATGCCACTGTGAGTAGTATGCTCTTGGCCACATGGTCACTTAGCCAGGCGGCGGGTATGGGGCGCATTTCATTCGCTTTTTTGACACTCTTTTGAATCGTTAGTAGAAGACCTTAGTATTACCTTTTCTGGGCATTAATGTATGGAATCCGCCACCCCATCTATATTGATAACGGTCCTGTTACGAATTCGTAATTGTGAGTAGCAAGTGCTTCTCCGATAAATTTCCTTGAAGTCCACCCTATCTTCCGAATTAATTTGCCTTGCCTTTTTGCCTTTAGCTAGAGTCGTCGATACTACTGCCTAATTTTTGGATCTCGGCTTTCACTACCTTGTTTGTACTTTATCACACAATGTTGAATAAATGTACTTGAAGTTTACAAGCCTATAGTTTTCTTCTTTAAAGAAAAGGTAAGGGAAATCTTGAATTAGTCGGTATTTGATTGGGTAGAAACTTGATCTAATAAACTGCATTAAATCATGATGAGATAAAAAAAACATAATTTTTAGGCGTAGGTAATAAAGCAGCATTTGCCACCGTTATAAGGCTTAAAGAGTTAAAATTGTCAGTCAGAAACATCCCGAAACACTGGCTTAACATCATTATTACTCTATAAGTATCGAATTAAAAAATCGAAAATCTTGATAAGCAGCTGAAATTTTAATAATTTTTTGGGGGTGAAATAGTATGCAACGAGCTTTATAGTGCGTACTTTTGGCTCATCACATGCAAAATCTTTGACGATTTTACAACACTATCGGTTCGCGGAATCTAGGTGCATACTTATAATAAACCACAAGAACACTACTGCGAGTTTTTTGATCTATTCAAATAATCAAGTGGTGAAAATAACATTACTAGAAAATCCTCAATAACTGCTTTTGGCCATTCGTTTTAGCCTGTTTTCGATTTACGTATTATTCCAAGGTATGCTATTTTTTGGAAAAGTTTTTTGATCGTTGCCAAAAAAATTAATTCATAACAATCACCTTTCGAATGCTATCATCAATTATGCAAGTACGAGTGTTTGATGGTAAGCACACTTGATGATAAAAGTTGTTGATTGCGATTTCCAAAGTTAATTGCAAATAGCTAGCTCAAAAAACCCGGGAATTCTGCCAATTAGTGAGGCGCTCTTTGACCCCGACAAGCTGCATTTTTGGGACAAACAAATCTGCCGACGAAACAGCTGTCATGGATCGAGCCGCGTGCCTTTTGCTACGATTGAACACTTGCGGACCACTCCAAGGTGCGTTGTCAATCTCGGCCCGTAATGCAAGACGCTCCCACTTCCGGTTGTGATTAAATATACTTTCCCACTCAAAAAAAACGAAATTTTAACCCCTCTTAGTCGGACATATTTGACCAATTATTCATAGTTGGGAGATGAAGAGACTGCTTGGGCCTCCGCTCGGTGACGAGCTCTCCGGGCCCGGCTAGTAGTCTCAGCCCCTTTCCATGTCAGCAATACCACCTCTGACACATTTCTGAGACTTCTTTCGACGTCATGGCGACTCAGAGGCTCCGTGTGGTTTGCAGAATTCATATTAGCTAGACGGAAGCTATGTTTAGTTCCAAAATATGTTAGATTCCACTTTGCATTTATTTAATATCCCAAACACTACTTACCCAATCAGATATGTTTTTAATCAAAACAATTGCACTAACACAACTATCTCTTAAACATCTACTGAAGCTAAATTGCCTGGCAGTCATTCCAACCCAGCTGCCATATTATCAGAAGGACACAAGCATCCCCAACACCATGACGCTTTAATCAAATTGCGTGACCATTTACTTAGCAATTACGCAGGTCAAGCCCCAGACGTTTGCCTTTTAGTCACCTGCACAAAGAAGCACCATGCCATAGCGGAATACAAGCAATTTCAAGGTTGACTCACTATTTGACCTTGAAGTAACTATTAGGAATGGAGAGTCTAGAAACACCACTCTATAACACACCACAAGATTGCCACATCACCATTATTTTGGAGCCTTAACAACTCTAAAGCAACCACTAAGATGAAACCATTATTCTGAGGGCAACACAAAGGGCCTTCCCCACATCCAGAGCTCCAAATTCTCACAAGCTCACCCCGTAAACCACTTCTTTTGTTGAGATTGTAATAGGAGTGCCAAGGGAATCGTGTGGATGTGTTCAATTTTTAGCTGTTCAGTTGGCATGGGGACCTGCCCCTAGTCTACATTCATGCGCGCGTGTGTGCATGCTCTCTTTGGGAGGTGCTGCTGTACTGCGAGCCGGTCTCCCCCGGTACTTCATAGAAGGTCGACGTCTAAATGTATCTCGAAGTTATCACGAAAGAGGAAAACTGCTGCGGAGAGTTAAATTGACGGAGGCTCCCAGCTGAAGGGCTGTTACAACCAACACGACTACTCGAATTGCGTGTTGCCTCATAATCTTTCACTCATTGATAGAATTCGGAGTTGGATAGACAAAACTAACTAACAAATTGGCGATTCGAGAAAGGGTAAATGATGGAAAATCCCCACCACTGACCAACATCGTCTTGAAGGCTTAGAAGAGGCGGATTAAATGGTAAAAAAAGCTTATCAGTACAAAATTGAGAAAAATTTGCGCTATATCAATTTTTTAAATCAGTGATCTTGGAAACACCCACGAGAGTGCCGACTAAGAATAAACATCTCAAACGCAACACCTCTTGCGACATTAGAGAACAACCCGTTCACTTGCTACTCCAGCTTGACTGGCTAGTCATTCTTGACTCTAAAAATACAGCAAAGAAGAAATCAATTGCGAAGAAAATTCATCCTCGATGTAGACCCCATCCGCAGCTTCCATTGTAGGTAAGGTAAGGAACATCTTGATTCGTAACGTGTTTACAACCAAATCAGGAATCAACGGTCCTGAAATAACCAGTAGGAGAGAACCTCAACCACTCCAACTTTTGAACCACTCAATAGGATCAGAGATAACACAGTTGAGGGGTACAAAAAAGGCCCCGAGAATAAATGGTACAAATTAAGAAAAGGGATAAGATTGCATTAATCAAGGGTCTTCACCACTCTGACCTTGAAGGCGTCCAATAGGAATAAAGTCATGGCAATCAACTGTAACACTCTTAATTCACTGTTCCAAAAAACCAGATTTTGAATTATGCAAGGCACAGTAGGAAATGACAGTACAAACACACATCAGTAACCCACAGTGGGAATAATCCTATTCCGACTGGGAAGAGCAGCAGCAGCACTGGAAGGTGAGTTGAAGAGGGAGCGAAGGAGGTAGACTTGACCCACAGCGACAAAGAGGATGACAGCAACGTGGATGAGGGAGCCCCAGGTGACACGTTCATTCAGTGCCTCTACGAAACTGCGCGAGGTGGCCTCCTGCAGACGCACCCTTGTCTGCGCTGCTGCAGCGTTTCTGAGGTTTTCATGGATGGTGTATATTATGCTGTCCACCTGTACCACACACAAACGGATACACACATCAATAGAAGATAGTTTGGTCAATGGTACAGGAGTAAAAGATGCAGGAATCATTAATACTTGGACAGATCAACCAGTAGAGGTATAAATGCGAAGAGACTCCGAATGAACTTATCAATCAGAGTTTACTGAGTAGATAAATAGGTGGTGGGTAAAAAGAATAGAAAGATATACCGACAGATGGATACGAAACGAAACAATGAGTGAATGAACTAATCGAGGAGGAATACATGGTTTAACGATGAAGGAACGAAGACACAAATTGGTGAATAAGTGAGCGGAGGGCAGAACCATACAACTTCCAACCCCTAAAATGACCTGTGACCCTAATTGACTAAATGAATGGATGGGTGGGTGAATTGATGGATGGATGGATTTAACATGATCAATACATTATTCACACGAAACTGCACAGAACCCTAGGAACGACTAGTTGAATGAATGGAAGAATCAAGCACCGAAATGAGGGAGTGAATAACCACAATAGCTTAATGACGGCGTAGACGGACAGCAGGAGGAATGGCTGACAAGTGTCGCCCATTGCAGTCTGAAGAGCATAAAGCAACCAACAATAATTTGGTTAAACACCAGAAGAGTCACCCCGTCTTAACCTTAAGCTACTTCATATTTTTCATTTTAGGCCTATACGAAGAAAAATGGTGGGGGTAGAAACTTTCAATGCCTGGAATATCACAAAAAGTCTCTTCCAACTCTCTCTGACCTTTCATATTTGCATTTGAATAACAGCGCTTGGAGAGTGAGAGATATAAATGAATTGGAAGGACTGAAGCACATTTAAATCTAATGCCAGCCGGATTAGCTAACTAACAAATGAACGGGTTACTGAGTGTGGAGTAGGTAAGTTTAGATGAACTGCCGATTGACCAGTTTTTGGTTTTTAAGATCAGCATATACCTTTATTGTTTACTCATGGAGATTAAGGAATTATTTGGACAATATACATGGTTTTTCATCTTATCACGTGTGAATGTATCACTATGGGTCCTGCGCTTCCACACACCATTCCGAAAAGTACTTTATGCCTGCCAGCATAGTGTTTTTAAGCCTTAATCAAATGTGCGTACGATGACGAGGTGACTCAAGTAGACAATATTTCCACATAGTAGCTGGAAGACTAGAAGATATGAATAAGATAGCTGCTAGATTGAAAAACGGATCAAGAAATAATATCTAGGTTGGGTAGAGGGACAGATGGACCGATGACTGGGCAAAAAAAAAACGTGTGAAGAGGTAGGCAAATACATGAACTGGTAAGGACGGAAAGAGCCTTCAAAAGCAAGAGATAGAAAAAGAGATGGATCCAAGGTAAGCGGACAGTTAGGGGGTAGATTAACTAATGATTTTATGAAGAAGATAACCAAATGGTGGGTAGATTTATAGGAGGATATTGAGGTAGATAATTGGCAAAATGAACAAGTATAAAGCACAATTAAAAAGAATGGTACAGAGACAAATATCACACCCCTAATACTTGCCTATCGTTTTCAGACGTTATTCACTAATCATTCAAGCAAAAATATCTGTATACAATATCACTCACATCTTAAATTTGCGCAAATAACTGGTGGTACTACCAGGTAAATGCTTCACTTTAGTGGCTTATGTATAATTTGGATACCACATTTAACTTAAAGTTGAAATACAAGTGGGCGGAAAAATATCCACAAACACGAATTTAGGATATGGCACAATGCATTCTTGTCAGCGCTAATAACAGATGTGATATCAGACAAGCTTGTCAGAGTTCACCGACTCATATCGCACGCGCCCACGCACATGCACGAGGGCATAATGCTAAAAAGCAGGGAGTGAGGGAGCACAAAAGTGAGAAGAAAAAACTCACCATGTTCACTGGTGCATCTCCAAGTGGATCCGCCTTCTCCGACTCCAAGTCCCAATTCATGTAGACTACTTTGTGGGTGACCGATGAGAACTCGTTACTAAAGCATAGCTGAAAGCGATACAATAATTAGGAATCACAACAACAATTTTGGCAAAAACTAGTTAAAACGGAGAAAAAAAGAACCAGATAATAAACATGGCGAATTATGAACGTACCTCGTGTTCTCCCTCCATTCTGGCGGTGTAATCAAAGTAGTCGTATTGCTCACGTTGGAGAACCTTTACTGGGTTTGTTGTGGGATCTCGAAGCGTTACGTCAATATCAAAATTCCCGCCAGATGTAACCTGAAAATCAGAGACGAAAAGAGTATCTCTAATAGCCCAAAAATCTCGAGATGATTTAAAATAGCACAAAACAGTGCAGCTGAATAGCTTGGCAGAACAACACCCCAAAATACATAAAACGAAATATGCAGTTAAAATGCAATTGATTTATAATTACCTGAAATTCAACTGTGGTGCGTTCATCCTGCTTAAGGACAGCGTAGAAGCAACGAGTCTCGCCATCCGGAAGCTCGAAGGTAAATGATGATGACTCGACAAGGCCTAAGAGAAGTAATGATGCGATGGAATATAGGACACACCGCATCACGTCAGTCCACGCAACTTGAAAGTCCTGCAACAGAATTTAATTGGTCGATCAAATTGTGTTAGTAACAGGAGGCACGGCAGTAAACAGTTAAACAGTTTTAAAGCTTAGTTTCCCACTTTTCGAATTATGCAAAAAATTACAAAACCCTACTATGGGGAAATACCAGTTTTAGTTTTTAATAATTAGGCTGTCTATGGCAATTGTCGGCAAGTTTTCAGGTTTCAAGCAAACATTGATTATTATTTTCTGACTGCACTAAAGACTTTCATTGGTTGCCAAGATTCAATTTTTTATTGGTGAAATTGCAACCATCCCTTACGTATTACATAGCTCATTTTCAGAAACCCAGGAAAGCTATTTCGATGTAATTCAAATTAATTGGTGGCGCAAGCATCTTCCACAGTTGTGAGAAGTCACAGTTATCTAGTAGCAAATTCAATTTTGATATAAGAGGATTGATGTATAGCTAAAAGGATGGACTGGGAGGTGTGAATGCTGGCAAAACTACAATTTGAGGGAAAGTAATTTTCCAGTGCAAGCTAAACGAATAGATAAACAAACCGTCAAAGCATTACGGGGACTTGTATTTTTAAGGCCAGGCTAATTTTCTGGCCTCCAAACCATCACAGCGCTGCCGGAGCCTTAAAACAAAAAAACAACAAATCAGCCGCTTTAGGTATCGAATTAGCGAGCATCTGAGAGAATTATTAGCCCCAAATCAGTGAGTTTTTTAACCATTACCCTAGACATAAAACCTTTTGTTTGGCATCTTTAAAGGCAATGCAATGGCTATCTTGTATGCCCTTTGCTAGCTGTTAGAACACTGGTCTAGAAGAGAATCGTTTAAAATGACAGGGGGAAGGGCTTGGCACCTACTTCTCCTACTTACCTTTTTTACTTTGTTCTGTCCGGTCATATCTATGTACGTCTTAGATCAACAGTAGATAACTGGAAGAGGTAACGCGTGCTTAATTAAGTACTTTTATATTTGGGCATTTTAACACCTTTATAACGAATTTGTTTTTCAAGTGGTTCACTGCCAGTGCTGCTTTAGTTGTTAATAATGGTACTGCATTACACGTGACTGAAATGTAGACGTCATACACAGTTCTTCTGCCAAATCTTCACGCACTTCCACCAGCAGCAGATGCCCTTCTTATGCCTAATAATTAGTACACAAAATCAAAGTTAAAGTGCCTCAAAATGAAGCACCTTATGTTTTTCATGAAATTAAAAGTGATCTTGGTGTGCCTGCTTGAGTCATTTCTGGAGATAGAAAAAGGTCTAATACCCATGCTTGGTATATTTTGTCGACTTGCAGACGAGCATGGGGCCTATTGGCATGGTCTAAAGGCAGTCTGCCCAGCCCAGGAACAGTGATGAAAACCTAATTTATCCTTTACCAAGCGCGGTAGATGAGCTAAACAATTGAGTTCTGCAGTATTTTTGCCAGAAATTGTGTTGCTGATGTACAGTAGGACTAAAAGTATACAGTTGCACTTTCCTAGCTCAGCTCTTTTTCCTCTAGTCATTTAATCATGTGAACGACTAGATAATCATTAATGGAGCGTGAACGGGTTTAGGGAAATTTGATTTGATTTGATTTGAATTTGCATTGAGGAAATCTAGCGACGACTTTGTTACAAGACTAGAGGCCACTGTGCGCTTCCCATCAAAATTGGGTATATTTGAAGTGTATGTATTACAACTACAGGCACGGCTCAGAAATCATGTAGCCGAGCAAAGGTGTAGATCTTGGCATCTTAAGTGCGTGTGAAACTAAATGCAGTGTTTATTACTTATCAATGTTTCGTGATATAGGGATGGATCAAATACCAACCCAGTTTGGGGATTTAAATACAACATACAAAGGCTTCCAAGTACAGTAAAGGATTTCAATAAATTCCAGTAGTCCACAAAACTCTTTCGAAACATCTATTATTTGGTAGCATAAGGGACTTAAAATTGCCAGACACCTTGTTTGTTTCTAAATTTGACTATGCTGGCGCTTAGGCCTACGGAGGTTGCGCTTCCCCCGAACAGCAGGGCATTCAAGCCACGATAGTCGCTGTCCCACTTGAACTGTGTCAATAGTATATTCTGTGATATTGCCGATGCTTCCCACCTCTGTATGAAGAGATTTGGGTATCCCAGAGTCTTGCTTTTAATTAATCAAGAATTGCTTTTGTCTCCTACAATCGTTATATATATAATTAGTATTTGCGGCACATTATAACTTAATGTGAAGTCTAGAACACTAAAACCCAATACTTTATTAAGATATTAATAGAATGCACTTTCTTAATTAGCCTTTTTTGGCATCGGGGTCAAAGCACATACAAACTGTTTGTCAAAAGTCAATATTTTCAGCACAAATAATCGTTACCGTACTCCGTTTTTGCGTTAGGTGACGATATTTGTAGTCTCACAATATTTTCGTCTTACCTTTCCATCATGTCTAATTTTTAAACATCTGTTATTCTGCATTTTTGCACTTTTGCAATGGCAATTTTAAACTGTGTTTGTTCGAGCTAGATGTTTCATGCAAGCATACTTTAGGTCGCAGGTGGTAATTTAGGTGGTTTGACGCGCCACCTGTGATTTTGTACCCAATGACAACCCTGGTTGAAGCACTCCAACGCAAGTTCAAAGCTCTGGTTTCTGACGAAATCACACCAGAATGTAAACTGAAATTGACTCCACGCGCAGGTGCTTCTGCGGATTTTTTGTGCAACAATGTGAATAACATTTTTACAATATAATCCCCACTGCTTACTTTATTTTAAATGAAACCTTACAGGTGGAGCTCCTTCAATTTGCACACGCGAAATTGCATTGGATCATCTGGAAATCACCAGTATAGGCGATCCTAAGGAGATGATCCATATTTTTGACAACGTTCGAGAGTTGGATATATCGACCAATCGTATTCGTTTCTGGTCAGATGCAAGTCGCTTCGATTATTTTCTTCATTTCCCTTCAGGTCTTTGCTCTTTTGGAGTGTTCCTCAAATCTTCAATCACTTAATTTAAGCTACAATCCTTTGCAATTTTCCACACTCTTCTGCGAAACCGGAGAAATTGATGAAGTAACAGTCCGGAAAGCCGAATTCCCTACGCCTTCCTCTTCATTTCCTTCAGATATTGCTATCAACTCCCAACACAGCAATTCTGACAACGTTGGCATCAATTTACTTGATGAAATTTCCTTCTGTGAGGAGGAGAGAAATGATTTGGTAGTGCGTTCCTGTTTTTTCCCTTCTACTGTAGGCTCTTTTCCCTCCCATGTCCAATTTACATCGCTATTTCGTTTTAGGCACATGATAAACAAATCCTCGAAGCGCCGGACTTATCCACATCCTGCCTTTCATACCACTTGAACACACTCTTACTAAATTCTACACGAGTTCCCTGGAAAAGAGTCCTTCTTCTGTTGAATTACCTTCCCAAGTACGTCTTTTGCCTGTTTTTTTACAGATTAATATGAAGTTTTTTGCTTTTGGTAAGATTGCTGTCATAGCTTACTTTATTTTGATGCGATATTCAGAGGGTACTGTTTCATTGCGCCAAAAGGCGTAGTAATAGAATGGAAGTTGATATTTTTTGTGGTTTCAAAAATCACTACGATAAATGCTGTCGTGGAAGACGTTCCTTAAAACTCCTTGCCTTGTGACCTGTTATTAAATCCCTATAACAATACGAACCCTAGTTAAACGTGCAGTTGAATAGTTTTGGGCGTCTAGGTTCACCTACCGATGAATAAAATGGACTTTTATTATTGTTTGAGATGAAAAATTTCGAAGTTATTTTAGTGCAAACTTGTAAACCCAGCTACTACAGGAGTAGTGCAGCCCCTTTTACTTCATTTGTAAAGAGATTAAAGTGTTTGGGGGGTGAGTGGGAGGGGTAGAACCTTATCTACATTACCAAAACCCATGTGGATGAATTGGCGCTCTCTGCACGTAAACACACCATCCGTCAGCCAGTTATTCATATGGGAAGTGGCAGTGTCTTGTCCACCCCTCAATTAGCCTGAGAGACTAAGTTAGAAGCGGTGAGGGGAAGGGTTGAGGCTTTGAACTAATTATCTCAATTCCTACGCCTTTTCTTTCTCTTCCTTTCCACATGAATTGCTTAGTCCCGCCCTTTTCGCCTTACGTGACGATGTTTTTTTAAATCGTGTAACGCTTATGAGCGGAAAGGAAGTCATCCAAGGCGGCCTCGGCTATTCATCAATGAGGTGGGGGAAAAATATGTGCATCCGTGTTTTCTCCTATTCATGCGTAACCTTGGTGGACAGCTGATCAACCAGTTGCTTACAGCTTTGTTCTCATGCTGCCTAACCCTACGAGTCACCTCTGAATGTAGAGAGGGGTTTATTGTTTCGGTACAGATGAGCTGTGTGATGGTGACTTGTGAGCCCGCGTTGTTAAGTACATCATTGAAACAAATGCTGTTTCACTGACGACTTCTGAGTCTTCTGCTCCCCGTAGTCACTTCGCTTACGTTACGCCCAGCCAATAGGCTTCCTGTGTGAGGCAAACAGCACTGAGAAGAAGGTTGGATGACAGTCCTCAGTGCTTCTTGTCTTAAAGAAGCATAAAGAGGGCCATATTTGAGAGCACGGCATTAGGTTAGCTTACCAAAGCCTGATATCACTTCCGTAGACTTACCATTGTGCGTTCACAAACTTGGTTCCTTACGATAAAGGAAGTTTCCTCCTTTTTGAGCTCAACACTCGGCGTTTGTCGTAATTACCCCTCTTAAATGGACGATTATCATTTGTTGATTGTCTACCCCAATGGGTTCACGACCTTGATCTTGTGAATTGAAATGGGAGACTTCAATGGCTCTTTAGTTCTTAGAGCTGGGCAATGGTATCCATGCACCCTTTTTTGCCTCAAAGTAGCTTCATAAAGTGAAGATTCTGATTTCACTCTTCCTTTCTAATTCACCCTCATTATAGTACTCCCAGGCTGCTTAATAATGTACGGTTTACCACACAGATATCGTGCTTCTTTCTTAGAGGAGGTTTTCGGTTTTAGGTATTAAGTTCTTTCCTGTAGAACTTAAGACTGAAGTGGCTACCAAAAATTGACATGGCCTAGCTAACCCTTCTATTGTGAGTTCCCGCAGTTTCAGACCTGTTTCGTGGATATTTGACTAAGTTGGATTACTACCGCCTCCGACATCGTGCGGTGTTTTTTTTCTGAAGAATATGGGAGCTCCAGAGGCCCCAGAAGAGTCCGTAAACAAAGTTGCTGTGATCCTGAACTACATATATTTTTATTCACCGTCTCCCCCCTCTCCCGTTTCCCTCATTTCTAGTCAGAACGTAAATTTTCTACTGGTGACGGCCTTGAACCCACGATTTTTGTTGTTTTTGTTGTTGTTTATTTCCACTTTTTTCTAAGTCGTCAAGTGTACTTCAACTCGGTTTGAACTTTTTCCGTGTACGTCTATTCCCACGGTAAGGAGGGGGGAGGAGGGAGGTGAAGGAAGACCCTTTAAGGACATGGTTATGTTTGGATACTGCATCGGTATCGGAAAAAGGCACGTCTTACGAATAGTATATACTATTTCTTTAGTAGATATACTTTCATGAACTTACCTTAAATTGGTCTGGTTTATGAAATCGGTAATAAATACTGTTTGCAATGTCAGCGTTGTCAAGGTGTCGCTGAATTCCGCGTGAGTAGCATTGTCCACCTATCCATTGGTAGTGAATTAATAGCCAGCCAACGGGTAGGAGGCGAGTTGGTCACCTTTCTCGTCTAATCGGTGAAATCACTTGATATTGTAACCCAAGAAGCAAAACCTATTAGTGCGCGATTTGGCGGAATGTCTTCTGCGTAGGTCTCAGAATGAGAAGCCACCCAGTCTGGGCAATGGTTTGCGGCTAAATGGTGTTCTGTGGAGAGTTCCTGTCCCCTTTCAACCGTTCTTCACACAATTATTTCCCTTGAGGAATAAGTTAGCCTCATTTTGGCTACATTCAGGTTCTACCTCCCCTCCTCCTCCTCCTCTTTGACTCCTTGTTGTCTCAGTGCTGCCAAACTGCTTATCTAGGTTATTCTTCCCCCCTCCCCATATCGGCGGACATTGTACATTCGTGTTTCATTTGCCTTTAAATGCATTCATATCCAGTACCTCTTCGTTGCCGGATATAATGCGGAAGTGGTGAGTAGAGCATTTGTAAAACTCTTGATGTTATTTTCCCATTTGGATGTTCGATCACTTACTGAAGAGGTTCCCCTTCTGTCATATCTCTAGGCGGCGAAATCGAAGTTGATGTTGTCCCTTTGGAGTAGATTAGGTCACTACTGTCACCAATGTGGCCCTCGAACAGCCATAAAAGGAAGGTGTCTTGAAGTCGCTTTAGTACGGGGGATAGGCAGAAGGGCTGGGCGACATTTGCGAGATGTACATTGGTTCGGCTTCAGTAGCTCAAACCCACTCTATCATCTTTTGCTGCTGACAGCTAAATAAGCAACGTTGCTCAAGCAGCATATCCTCTTCGTTAGGTGTTTTCCCCAATATTGCAGCAGTTCATTACCCCAGCTAACTTATTTACCTACTATTGTTTAATTAAGTAGTATCCTCGGTATGTCAAATAAGCATCATCGTCAATGTCAAAAGTGTTTAAAGACCTAATCTTCATCATAACCTACTACTACCTAAATAAGTGGTATAGTTGATGGAGCATCAAGGGAACTGCCAATTCTATCATCCACATTTTACCTCCTTGCAAAGCCTGACAACCTTGCACGCAGCTCTCAATGACTACTCCTGCTGCTGCGCTCGTGACACCCAATCCAAGTCTCTCGCCTGTTTCCCTCAACTACTGCATCTCTACTTCTCGGAAAACCGTCTAGACTCTTGGTCTGACGTTTGCTGTCTTGGTGGGCACTTTCCACGACTTCAGCATCTCGTGCTTCTACGGAATCCCCTGCAGGTAGTTCCACCATTGTTGGAGGGGAAGGAGGAGACGCCCTTTGCGTGTCTAGAGGACTTGAATCTCATGGAGACAAGGCTTGATGCGTGGGAGAGTGTAGATGCACTGACTCAGTGGTTCCCAGCGTTGAAGTCTTTGCGATTAGGGAAGGATATACCTCTACTCCAGGTGGGTAATAGGGTTTCACTGATATATTTTCAATTTCTTTGATTCATCCATTCATTCAAACCTCCATTCATCGATCCCAGATCCACCTGCTCTTTTTTCCTTCATCTCTGATCCACCACTTTAATTAATCATTTCGTACTTCACTTTGAACTAAATTTTCCTGGAAGAAGCTAGCGACCCAGGTCCCGAGTTCTGTCTAAAAGTAGAAAATTCTACACCCTTAGCCTCTCCGATCCCTTCTTCGATTTCCCAACTGTCTGGTCTACTCCGTAAGTGATTGGCTAATGTTGAGGAAAGATACTAAATACCTAGAGCTTAGAATATGGAGGGTGCAGTTGATATTTTGTAAATCTTTTTTTTTCTATTTAACCGATAATATATCTATTCTGTACAGTTCTTGTGTCCGATTAGTTAAAAACCATCCAATAGAAAAAATAATTTGGAATAAAATCACAATTATTAGGTGGGTTGCGGAAACACTTCAGGTTTCACTGTTTTTTTTTTTGCCTCCTTCTATAAGTAACAAACTTTTTACCTTGGAAACCGCCACCGATTTCGCTGGCATGCCTAAATTAATGTCACGATTTCTCTTCGTCTAGTCGCTTTCAAATTAACCAATCAAATGCTTTCCCGATGGCACATCAACTTTTAGCAGCTGTCATACTTTGAGGTTTGCTATCACCGCGCTTTTTGTGCGCAAATTAACTCAAAAGTCATTTGAAACTCTTTCTGGACGTCTGTGAATCCGCCACTATTCACGATCGCAAATTTCTATGCACTTTGAGTACTTCATGCTACCAACCAATGGGTTATGGTGGCGCCTCACTTTTTTTTCCTTTTTTTCAAGGGCTGTGATGCGCAGATCTTCCGCTGCGATGTAATCTCACGAATTCCCACGCTCACCTCCTACAACATCACACCCATTACCGAGGATGAAAGGGAGCGGGCAGAGCGCGATTTTGTCCGCCGATTTGGCCAAATGGACGAGGGACAGCGACCGAAAAGGTCAGTCTTGCGTGAGATTGTTCCATTACTTACGTACTTCACTGTTCTGTTGGATTGGACCTGGTTCTTGGCTTGAAGAGAAGACTGAATGTACGAATGGATGGATAGATTGGTGGGTGAATGAATGGATGGTTAGTTGATTTAAAAAACGCACCGACGAATGAAAGCATGAGTAATTTGACAGGTGAATGGATGACCTAGTTAATGGAATGATCATTTGAATGGATGAAGGGGTACTAGACCTCTACGAGGTTATTTGAATCACGGAGATCGTGGTGCAGCAGCTCTTGCACAACTTTATTCGTCTATTCAGCAAGATAAATTCAGTTGATTGAGGGATGTGCGGTTGGGATGCATTGATGAGTAGTTTGACATGAGAGATAACTTAGGTGTTAGATTTTTTGTCAAAAGGAAAAGTAGTTGGACGAGTGTTTGTTGAACCAAGTGGGCTCTTGATTGGGTGATTGAATGCTTTGATGGATAAAAGAATGACTAAAAAGCTGGATAAATGGAGGATCTGTTTTAATAGTTGTCACTTACTTTTTTTGCGTCGTCTGTTGAATGTTTGTATGAAGGAATGGGTGGAAGTGAGGAGGGCGGATGGCTTGGTAATGACGATGGAGTTTTAGATCCGATTGCTGTAATACCTTTTAGATTCTGGGAGTTGAAGAGTCTTCACGGCTACGTCGCTCCTCTCGTTTCTGTGAACCTTTCTCCCAAAAGGAAGGTTCGGCTGCGCATTCAACTCGATGATCAGGAAGTGGGTTTCGTGCTTTTTTATTTCTCTATCCGATCTATCCTTTCAACGTGGGTACATTTTTCCACTCCAAAGCTCTTAAATATCCGCTCACGGAGCGTATATTCGTCCTTCCAGAAGTGGCACTCCTGTTGCCTGCGCCAGTCAATCGCGCGCCTTCGTCACGAGGTGTGCAGCCTCTTTGGCCTCTCGGCTCAGGAGGCTAGGGCGACTCGACTGGTCTACTTCGATGCGGGTATCGTGGCGGCTCAGGGACCCGAGGAAATGCGACACCTTGCACGTCTCCTCTACACTTACCATCCCAACGAGGGAGACACCCTCTTAATCACACGACGTTCATGACTTGGCGCGACTCAAGATGACCTGGCCTGAACCGAACGCATTTACACTGACCTGAATGTGATTTGATTAGATGATTATGGTTTTGTGTACGAGCAAGCGAATAGAATCGGAATTTGCTGCCTCTCATTAATTCTGCTTTCTTCCAGAATCATTCATCTTATTACGCTCTCACCAGCTTGACAAACAGTAAGACGCGATCGCCTCACCGATGCGTTACCTATTATAGACCCCTTGTTTTCTGGCTGCATTGGGTCGTTTTGTTCCCACATGTCAAGTGTACAGTCAATCATCCCACCAGCCAATTTGAGAACGTGCAGCTAATTAAAATTGTTTTGACTGTTACAAATGCTTTGTTATCATTATTTCTTTCAGCGCAAAAATGCACTAGACACGACAGCTTCAATTTGGCAATGTAAAACAATCCTCAAGGTAAAACCGACACACTGATCTTGAAGCAGCCGGTGTGGACACCGCCCCGGATTTTCTAATACGCGAATCAAGTAAAACAGAAATCCTGCACTTGTAACAATCCCTTAAAGAAATATTTTTGTGGCTTTCATTTCGTAAAATGCAGAACCATTTCTGCGCCCAAAGGCCGCGCTGCTTGACATGACAGACCGAAATTTGAAAAAAAAAAACAAATTCTGTTTAAAAGAGGTGGATTCGTTCATTCGTACATCGGAATTTGGCATTCCGCAATTTTCGGAATTTAAATTGACTTATAAGAGTATACAGTAGCTGAAAATTGCGTGCTCTCGTGTAGTACTAATATGAGGTTTGGCTTTTTATTGATGGAAATTTGCGGAAAATAGTTTAATTCAAATTGTGTTAAGACCAAAACTGGGTTTCGATGCAGACTTAAATGTACTGGCTTACAGAAAGGCTCTCCGGGCGTTTGCTATGGCTAATGGAATACCAGTGCTTTTGTAATACCCACCGTTCCTTTTAGAGAGGAGCAAGCATACGAGTCGAACCTCGTGACTGAGGTGTCGACATCCTGCAACCCGGAGAATGATTTCGTGTCCACACCCACCTAAACTTGTACTTGCTTTCCCCATTTACTTATCCTAATAAACATGTCGAAATCAGATCAACCTAGGTGTTCTACGAGTATAAGGGCCAAAAAAGAGGAGATCTACAAGCCTCGTCCTACACTTTAATTGCAATTCGCCACCCTTAATTTTCCCCAAGTGTAAAGGACAATTAATGCCAATTTTTATGAAAGCCTGAAAACACCAAGACCTGTGTCGTAAAATACAGCATAACAAAACACTAAATTATTACTTTGGGCCTTTTTAAAAATTTGTAGTGGTGCTTGAAGTACAACGCGTAACGTACTAAGACTTTCCTAATGGCGGAGAAGAAACATAGTTTACAAAGACGATATTTTTGACACATGAAAGGAAGTCCCGAAGGCCAGGCCGCTAGGCTAATAACAAGATCCGTAGACGACTTGTCAGAGTAAAAATATAAACTATGCAGAATGAGATGTTCCCTAAGAAGAGCGTGGCAACGAGCCTTTTATTTTGTGGACCAATATTGGGGGTACATCCGATTTTATATTCACAGAGGACTTAGCAGACACAATTATGTTATTTAAAAAAATACTCAATGTTTTCGTAAATCCAACATCAGCTTTATCATATATTTTAGTTTTAACATCAGTTTCAGTAGAAATGCAATACGATGGTTATTTATCGCTCGGTTTCGGTTAAAAGTCAACACTTGAATTGAAATTTTTACCTCGCCGGGTGGGCTGGCCTTCGGGTCATGCCAGTAGCTCAAATACCTTCTCTGTGCAAAATACATATATTCTGCTCTAGTATTATGTCTTCCTCCGTCTTCAGGGAAATCTCGGGATGATGCAGAAATGTTAGTAATTTCGATATTTGGTGGAAAATACTTTACCAAAGATTATGGACTCCGGATGCAGAGGATTCAAAAGGGCAAATAAACTAGAAGCATCTTTATATGAATAGTGATTTTCTTTAAAACAACTTTGTTTTAGCACATCTTGGGTTGTGATGCTTACATAGAATTGATACACAATGTTCCAATTTAAAATATTGCGTGCTTAAAATTTAAAGTGTCTAAATATCTTTTATTTTTGTTGATATATAGTGTTAAGTTGCTTAAAATAATTCATTCCATCTTATCAATAAATGACCAATTGATAATGCTGTCATTGAATTACTTGTTTGCATCTTATTGGCTAGTTTTCTGTACTTCCGCGATCTGTGTTGATTTGTGGTCTGCTTTTTCTGCTGTGAATTCGTGCCTCTATTTAGCGCTAAGTTGAAGGTGGTTTTCCAGAAACAGTAAGTACTTGTGTGTCACTTTCTTGCACTTAATTCTTTCATAAGTTTTATGCTCAAATGAGGTGATTAATCCATTTTTGGACTTCTCGGAACTCCTCTGCCTTTCCCACGCAGATTTTCTTAGTTTTCAATGAATCATTTCAGGCTACCTTTTGTTTTACGTAGTAAATGTAACAGTTTTTGACGCCAAGATTCTCTGTTGCTGTGTCTTCTCACTCCATTTTCCTTTTGTTCCACCCAATAGATGCAGGTTGGAACTGCAACCTCCACAGCAAACCCCACATCGGAATATCTTAATAGCACCGGAACCTGGATCACGTATCTTCTTCTTATTGCCGGTTTCCACCTCATTCTTCTCTGCATTCCATTTCTTTCCGTAGCCTCGGTCTGGACACTTACTTGCACTCTACATAATGTCGTAAGTCGTCCCCTGGAGACACCTCAAAGCCGGAAGTACTCCTTTCCTCCTCCTAAAGATTCTGATACACACTTGTTGACTGCTCACGTGTTTGGGTATCTGTGGGGGTATTTATGTCTCAGGCTCATGGGTGTAACGGAAAGACGTGCACATATGTCTACTGTTGCTTCATTCGTCGATTCCCTTTATCGGCTTCTTGTGAATTCTGCTCCCTGTTATGTTTTTGCTTTTACGCTGATTGGTTCGGTTTTCCTCTAAACAGGTGAAGTTTTGTAGTGTTCCTTGACCATAGTGCGAGAGATTGTGGGGTGATTTTTTGCGTGAGTAATCATTATTCTGTGCGTGTTGATTTTTTCATTTAAGCTCTTGAAGGCTCCTGTCCTCAGTCAGGATTCTGGTTTACTATCTTCCCTCTGAAAACCCTACCCACGTACTAGACTACTCGCCTGTATACTGGCTAAGAACAGTTGCTAGGTACTGAAAAGTTAGTTATGCAGTGAATTTTGAGACGTTTCCTCGAATGTGCCGTTTTGGCCGCTGATAACACGGCTTCCCGTTGCATGTGTATGTGATGTGTTCTTGACTAATTTGCGTCCTATGTTTGGGGAAGATTGTGTTGTGGATGGACAATTTCACCTCAGCCTGATTGTACGGATAAGGATATTTCTTGGCTTAGCTATAATTACATTCATTTTGGGCTTCTTAAACAGCTTTGCTTTCAATAGACTGCATTTTTGTTGGCAACGAAGACCAGTTTTCTCTTGAAACCCTGGTGGAAAAATTGCTGGAAGCATGTTGTAATGGCTTGATTTCATCCTGCACAGTCACTAGCAGAAAAGAGGATTTGTCATTGTTATTATTATAATTTATCATTTATTATAATTTGACTGAGTGGTCTCTAAATCAGTACTTTAAAGGATTAAAGTATTTATTCTTGCATCTCCGCTTAGTTGGAAGTGGTTTTAAACAATCTTTATGACCAATGAGGAATTGTCTACTGAAGAATTTTGTTGCAAAAACTATTTTCGGGACCCGTTTTTCTCTCCATTTCATTCTAACTTCCACAAATGTTTTCTGCCCTTAAGTTTTCTGCATTTTCTTGCTTTCACGCAAATTTTTTCCCGGTTTTTTACTTAATCATACCGCTCTCGGGATGTGCTGTACCTACGTAGCGTCTATTGGTTCTAACGGCTATTTACTGAGCAATGTCATTGCCAAACTAGAGGCCATAAAGCTTCTTAAAGTTCTCTCGTCATTGAATAAACCACGAGGGTATAGCTAATCTCGTCGTTGCCAGATCAGGAGGAATCTAGTTTACCTTCACTTTAATCTGGTTTTTTGTTGAGTTAGTATTCTCTTCTGTTTTCCCCTCCTCTGGTGTTATGGTCGTCATCATTGCACCGTGTAACCCTTTAATTGGTCCTATGGTCTATTTGTCGACATCGATTCTCCAATGTCATTAATTGAATAGTGACTTTACAAAACATTGTTCAATCGAAATCCCCTGAATTAATACCCTCCTGGATCATTGAGACCAACTGTTCTGTGTTTATTAATCCTTGTTTTCGCCGTACACCGTCCAGTAGTACCTACTTTACCCTTAAAAGGCATTTTGGATGCTTAAAAATCTTTCATGTCTGCAAGACTTTCCTCAAACCTTCCGTTCTGTGATTTTCGCCGTATGTTATGGCATGGATAACCCAGTTTTGGCATGCACTATTATGTCGGAACACCTTCAAAGTTCTTGTCAAACTGTCTAGTAAAGTGGATCTTGGGAATGTGCTTCCCCTTCTTAAGAGTGAGTTGTCAGTGGTCTAGGCGGATAATCGCCGGGTGATAGCACTTCCATGGCTCATAGGTGCCTCAAAAAACTACCGCATTACACATTGGTCTTGTGGATAACGTCGTCATTGAAGTCACGATGCTCACAAAAGTGTGTTGAACTTCTACCTGCCCGATTAATAAAAGCCTTTTTGTCTTAATTCCATCTAGACTGCTTCATTTCTAACCGCCATTATGTTACCGTGCTGCTGAGGTAGTTGCATAACCGTTTCAATGGCAGCAGCTGCTGCTTAGATTTGCTCTTATTGGTTGTGTGACTCCTCTGTGTGCTATTGTTTTGGTGTTTGCGAGGAGCCAGTCATATCTAATCCTATTTTAAACTCTTGATCTCCAGTCTTTGGGGCCTGACGGCTTAAATACCTTTTTCTATATGCTGCAGCATATTATGTAAGTGGATCTTGTGGTTTAGCACCACACAAGTCGGCAACAGCGGTTAGATTAACTTTTTCACCTGAAAGAAACAGAAAAAAGTGCTTTTGCTTATTTGAGGTCACTTCGATAAGTGCGTTGAGCACCCGTAACCCACTTATCAATTTTCTGGGCCACTGTGAGAGAGAGTGAATGAGAATAATCGTGTTTTACCCAGTTCTCTGAACTGCTACAATACTGCACGTCATGCTAATTTATCGTTGCCTTCGTTCTTCACTACGCCATCATGATAAGACGTCTTTTACGCGCCTTTTATCCCCATCGTGACTGCTTTTTTACGTAGGAGATAATGAAAGTTAATTTGCTTCTCCCTGCTAAAATGCGGTACAAACCGAAGCAATGATACGTCTATTTATCCGTCCATCCATCTGCGAAATCATTCATCCCTAATCCGCTTATACTACCCTCTAGAGTGTCAGCCTTTCCTACTCTTTTGTCCCCTGTGATAAACTGTCTTCATTTCTCACTCTTTACTGGCAATGCTCTTTATGCCTCGTTTTCTTGATTAAAGGTTCGGATACTTCTCTTACTCCTACAATTGTAACCTAATTGTCTCCTCTCTGCACAGTTAACCTACCTACTTCTTCACTGGGAGAAGGGCAGTCCCTACGAGACGCTGGATCAGGGCGAAGCAAGGATTCTAACTCAATGGGAACAGTTTGACGATGGAGAACAGTACTCGCCGACAAAGAAGTTTCTTCTTGTCGTTCCTATTGTCATGTAAGCCATTCACCGAATCGCGGCCTTTTGATCTCTCGATTGACTACCTAACAGCATCACATGTTAATTAGAGCTTGTTTTTTGAAGCTGTGCAATGGTAGGTGGATGTGTGTCTGACACCTCCATATACCACACTATTACCTGCCGACGCGTTGGTCGTTTTTCAGTTAAGATTCTTCTCCCACCTGCCATGTGACCAACTAGCTCATTCGCTTGATCACGATTTGATTGAAGTTGGCTATCAGCATGAGGCGAAACCCTATCAATCAAGCCTTTCTAGCTATCACCACTAGTGCTGGTTCCTAGTTATCCACACCTTTAGTACAATTTTTGGGGAATGTGGTGTTTGGGAAGGTAAAATGATCTAAGCTTGACACAGAAAGAAGGAGCTGTGATGTAGCCACCATCCAACCGTGGAAGTAAAGTCGGCTGTAATCTACCTATTCCATTCCTATTTAACAAAGTCTAACTTCAAATCCAGTACAGTTGTCGTAGGAAAAAAGGCTAACTTTATTTTTGCCTCTCCGAAATTTGTTTTCTCTTAGGTTGCTTTACCACGCACGCAATTATCGGTTAGCATCACTATGTCATTTTGTCTACTTATTATTGACTAAACCGCTTATAAGTAGTATGGTTCACTCATCCAAATGACGAATTCATGCGTTAGTATGTAGTGCGCATTGTCATTTCTCCCTATCTCGGTACCGATAACAGTCTACTTATTTTCTAGGGGCGGGTAATAAGTAGTATGCTTCACTCACATAGGGAGGTTCAGGTACTTCATGCTTGGCGACCGCTTGGTGTTGAAACTTTTGAGCACACAGTCTGCTTAATTTTCTTCCAGCTTTATTCTGGCCAGTTTTTACACTCAATACGATCCAATCCACTTCGTGATCAATGCGTCGACACTCATTCTGCTGAGTATTCTGCCGAAACTGCCGCAATTCTATCGCGTGCGCGTATTCGGCATTAATCAGTGGTGAGGCGGTGGCACCGCTGTGACAAGGAAATGAGAGTAAAGTTGTCTCCTCATCCCCATCCTCCCCCGCCTCCTCATTCTCCTCCTTATTCTCTCACACAAGCATATATCCAATTTCCATCATTCGTTTTTCCCTGTTTGATCAGCACCACCACCATCACCACCTCCAGCACTCTAATCAACAACATTCCCTGTCTTCTACATTGCCACTTTTTTGTCTGACAGAAAGGGCAGTTTTGTCTGTCCTCCCCCCTTACAAGACTTGCGAATTTCTCTTTTTTAAATTTGATTTTTCACTTGAGTTTTCTGTTTTGATTGAGCGCTACCATATCCGGAGTTTTTTTGCCTCAATAAATAGAATGGAAAAGTCGATTGTGATGCGGTTTGACGCTCTCTTTCGATTCCGTTTGAGTTGATGCCTTGCTCCAGGAGTGGGCGGTGCTGTTCATGGCGAGACGACTGGTCAAGGAAACAGAAGGTCGGGTAGACCTATTGATAGGTGGATGGGTGATTGGATGAAGGAACAGGCATTTCAAGAGGTGAGAGCATCAAAGTTCCGATGGATGGATGGATGGATGGAATGATGAATGAACCCACTAACAGACGAGTTGGTAGATAGGATATGGGATCCCCTCGCTTCTTCTTACTTAGTTCGTTTCCATGGCATCGTTACTAATGGTGATTGACGCGTGCAAGGCTTGATGTGGACAATTGGAGGTTTTTTCTGGAAGTCGCTGTGTCGAGCTTCAAGTCTCCTCTCAGGTAGCAACAAGTCGTGCCACTGGAACTGAGGGGCCATTTCACCCACACGGGGATGCCACCTGCGGAGTATGAACGGCCGAGACAGTTAAGTGGACTAGACGAGGTTCCCTTATTCATTGTTTTTGTGAGATCTAGGAGACGTCCCTCCTCTTAGTGGAAGGTTCTTCATCCACCTTCATAGCCTCTCAGAATGACTCCTCTGTGACCGTTTGACAAATTTCTACTTCAGAGCATACTCAAGGTGCTATAAAAATATGGATCCCGCGTTTTTACACAAGATTTCCATGGGAAGTTTTAAGTCTACTGAACTTGCCTAGATCCTTTTAAGTAGTATCGTTAAGTTGGAACAGAAGTTGTAGCTGGAGCCTAAGAAAAGGAGCTAAACATCTTCACTCTCCTACAATTGGAGCAGTTTGGTGAAACCTAACATGTGACTGCAAAAAATCGCGTGATGTTTTTTTGTCACGTTGCGCCACTCACTGACCCTGTCACCTAGTGCAGCTCGGTAACCACTCCTGTAGTTGTTTGTGGGCATAAATTACGCTGTCTGTCTGTCAGATCCCCAGACTGTGCTTTCCATCACCTCTGTCTTGATTCAAACTATCTCTCATACCCATTGTGTGGCAGTGGAGCCTCGTGAGGTGTTTGGGGGTGGGCTTCTCGTAAAATTAGCTGTCTAGCACTTAGCAAATGCCCTTGTCACTATTACCTCTTCTTGACATCGGTTCGGAACACAAGCCTGATCACATCCGAAAGCGCTGAAAACCGAGGAGGGTAAAAGTAGGTTGTTTGCTCATTTTTCGTGGCTCTTTGTGGAACATTCTGGATGTGGCTGCCGATCATCTTTCCCCTATTGGCCAGTACTAAAACTTCACTTGACCTTGAGGTCATTTGAGAAGAGCCAATTACGCGAGTGTTGGATGTCAGTGATGCAGGCCTTTAAGCATACACACTCCACATCAGTCGAGAGGTCTCAGCCTGCTTCTCCAGTTTTGCCTGCGCACACACCTGCAGGTCAAAGTAACAACTGCGCCGATTTCGGCTGCCCAACTACAAATTATTGCCAGCTGCAAGAATTGATCACAAAGGCAATACTGGAAGAAGTTTAGATAGGGAATTGGAAAGCATAAGTTCGGGCAGTGCTGGATATTCCGTTCCACCCTGCCACTTAGAAGGCTGCCGAAGAGTCCCCTGGCAGACGGTTCGGTTGCACGCTAGAAAAGTCGTTGTTGCCGACCAGGAGGTGACGTCTTCTCTCATAGAAGCAAGACAAATCACTAAGGGTGTCGAATCTTTCACTGCGGAAGGTCAATTTGTAGCGCTTTTCATCGATTCCGCGATTGTAATGGACCTGAGCGAAGTGAGAGGAAAAATTAGTCTAGAAGGGAGGAATCGATTTAGCAACAAAGTGTCCTTCACTAATGTTGCTCCAATCATAACCTCTATGCCACAAAGGTATTTCCGGATGTCTTTAAGATATGCCCAACTCCTTTCTACTCTTTGGGAAACATACCGTTGCTCATACTAAGGCCTTCAAAGAAAGCCTTCCATCCTGGCGGATTGATGTATGAATATGGAAAAATACATCTGAAAAGGAAGGCATCATTTTGGATGGCTAAACCTACGGGGACTAATAACAGAAGCGCTATTGGAACCACGTCAAAAATCAGTTTAAATAGTCTCCTCGTGAAGTTGTTTCTAGTCGTTTTCAGGAGTAAAATTTGAGCATCCGGGAATAAGACACCTATAATTAATTATGAGACAGGAATATATCACACGGCGAGGAATGCTACCTATCAGTGGTGGTACATGCAGTAAGTCTGATCTGGAGTTCTGAATACCGCGTTCTCGCCAGGACAACCGCCATATAGGAGAGGAATCCACCTTGAGGACAGTACTAAGTACCTATTCTACGTGGGACTCGCTTTTCTTGGAACTATCTGCCGTGTCGTTCGACCATAAATATGGATACTTTCCTCCTGCAAAGTTAAGGTGTGCCAATCGCTCTTAACACTGTAGAGCTTTCATTCATCTCTAAAGAGGTAACAAGAGTTGGAAAGGCAAACCGTCAGGACACAATTAGAAATCTCGATAGGAGTAGGACCTGGGAGTTCGAAATAATGCTAGTAATATTGCTCTAATCTCTACAGTCGTTCTGAATGCCTCAGAATTTGTTAAATATAGTAAAGGAACTTCAGGAAATCATTCAGTTTAAGCCCTTAAAGAGCAAATCGTCATCACCTCAAATTATAATTCGCCATGGCATGAAGACCTGTCATGGCAACTCTGTCAATAAAGGCATGCCTAGAATCGCTGAGTCCTATCGCAGTCTGTTTACAAATCGTAATTCATACTAGCATGGCTTATCACGACTGCAGAAAGAACGGAGATTATCGCATAGGTGAGGGTGAAGGCGAAATAATTGTAGATTATTTGAGAGAAGAGATGCCAAGTATTCTTTTAACAATAAACTTGCCTCAATTGGGAATTTGTGCAAACCGTCCTGTAGTTCTAGATGTAAGAATGGCGCACCTGATTTGAAAACTATCCTGAAATACAAGTAGTCAGTAATTGTGTAGTAAAATGAGTATTACTTTTTTCCAAAAAAGTAGTATGTATATCTTTAAAAATTAATCAGGTTTCCGAACAGCAAATATAAATGTTGCATTGTGGTACACAAATAAATCATCTCAGACCCCTTTTGTTTTACTTTGCTAAAACATTTTTCTCCGAACTCTGCGGCTTCGGTGCCGTTTCAGTTACTCATGGCTTTTTGGTGGATGTTGTGCGCACATGAGTCATCTCGTTTAACACGTTCGACTGGTGAAGGATATGATTTCTTACCCCTCAAATTTACCCACAGATTCGTAAATGTTTGAGTTAGCATTAGCGTTTCCTCGCCATGATACGTCCCCGTTGGCCACCTAAAGCAAAAATCATTTTAGGTTGCGAAATATTTCTATAGGTTTTTATTTGATCCTAAAAATTCCAGGCTAAAGTGAATTTAAACATTGAGAATTAGGATGGGATTTTCAGATGCAGCTGATTAAAGTGTTCTGGGATTAGTTATTGCGTACTTTTGGTGCGGAGGAAGTCGTTGCACGCGTGGGGAACTGCGCATTTTTCGGCTGAAAATAAGTATAAAACATTTCTACCAAACACTCTTTTTTGTTAAAACAATTTTTTCCGAAATTTATTCTCACGCTCATTGCTGGAACGAATGAATGGCTCTCAGTCCGTGGGACATCATCAATCTCAGCGTATGTCTGTAAGTGTAACAAATAATTGACATAAAATAAGATTTTCTTCTTTAACGACTTTTCTAAAAGTGTTTAAATTCAATCTTACTGGGTAGAAAAAAACTAAGGCTGAAGCGATTAAAATGATGTGGTTTAGCCTAGAACCCCATGTGTTTTACCATTCATAAACCGGAGAGCAGCACCTCAAATCTTGCAAAACACTGTAAAAGTCGTAATGAGTTATATATTCATGAGTTGATCTTATTTTTCTCGTAAAATAATGATGGAATAAATTACACTTTACTGAGTTAGAGACCAAAGTTCACCAATCGCCTTCTTTATTTCCGTTCTATTTTTCCAAATAAATTGTCCGTCTCACACAATCATACACGCATTTGAGTTGAATTGCCGCCCCTCGCAAAGATCAGCTGGCCTTTTCGGTTATCATTAATTAGAAGAATGAGGATAGTAAAATTCTTTTTAGGTGTGTTGGTTCATGTACCTATCTCCGATAGGAACTATTTTACTTCATATAATCCTTCTTTCGGAATGCACTCTAGGCAGGAAATTTTGCAAAAACTCAATAAAAAAATGAATTGGAATTGCGAAAATAACCCACCTGCTGATAATAAGTCCCCCAGGGTCTGGTATCGGTGGAGCTTCCATCTCTCGGCTAAACGAAAATTAAAGAATATTTTTACTTTCAGGTACACTCCTTTCAACTGCATCTAAACACTTCTACTGAGTGTATTTAAGTAGCAACAAACAAAGAGTACGTTTACCGTGCAATTGATTGTGTATTCGACTTGTTGTGGAGGCCGGTTCTGACCGTACATGAACGATGTCTGCTTCAATGAAAAATCAACATCCGATTTGAAGGTGTAAATGAATGAAATGTAATGCATCGGAGAAGGTTGAATCTTTCGAAGGAATAAATTGGCAGAATGAAATGATCGCTCATTCGCATTACCCGATTACCTTTCCTTAAATAAAAGTTATTTTTGGCAAACTTCATTTGATACTTCGCTCATCTTACGGTTTGTTAAGCTAAACTATCCTTTCGGTGTCCTTTAGCAGTTGCCTATAGGCCGTTTTGAAAACGCAATTGCAGATGTGACTGCAAATTATTTTCTGCGGGCAATTTTGCAGTCACACAGTTAGTTGGTAAGGCAAATCAGTCTACTTTCCATGTAGAAAATAAGTTTGAAACCAAAGCAGATCACAAGCATCATGTATAATATGAATTTTTAGTCGACATAATCAAAAACTTCACCGCCTGAATTAAAAGTAAACTTCTAAAAACCATTTTCAAGTACCTGTTGGACTTGACTGTGGGTGCCTTCTTCGGGCGGACTATTTTGTACTACTTTCTGAAAGTTGAACAAACAAACGTAAAATGTCCGATTAACAAATGGCAAATAGAATTATCTTGAGCCATTTCGAAAGATTTCCGCTAGGAAATTACGTTAAGGAAAACCCAAAAACTCCTCTGAGAACAAAACTAAGGTTTACCTGGTTTTGGAGGCGATATCTGTTATTCAGTGCATCCTCAAGATTCTCCATCAGCCTGTGTTGTCCGTGCTACATGGCAAGATATCAGGAATAATCGATTATCAGATAAAATATTGAAACAGTGACACAATGGCTTTGCCTCTGAATCTCTGAAGCAATGAGCAATCCTTTCGAAGAACTTTTGACGTTAACTTCGGGTTTGATGGGATTTAATTAACTTCGCATATCTGAAGTAAGTATCGGTTTTTGTTGCACTTCTACAATACATGTCACTAACTTGAATAATATAAGTAGTGTATGGAAATACACGCTTTTGAGCAATTAAGAGAGTACCTTGTAAAATCGCAACCCTTCTGCCCAGCCCAGCAGATATTCTCGACTTTTCAACCCAATAGCAAAAATAGCCTCGGGATCAAGCAATCCAATGGAAGAGGGCTGAATCCGCAAAAAAAGGACGTGATAAATTTGCGTTTTCAGACGACCCTCGTGTCCTTTTCAAAATTCGTCCTCTACTCACTTACCACAAGTAGTAAAGTATGCGGAGTCGGAGTGTTCAGTACGCTCAACACATCGGTCTCCACTCTGGGCACATAGACATCCATGTTGGTCAAATCAAGCAGATATTTGGCTTTCTTTTTGGACTTGCAAAAAGGAAGGGAGAGTAAGAAATGTTTTTAAATGGCTTGAAATGCAGTCCACCCGTAAATTACAGAGTCCTCGACTTTGATTGGTTCATCCCCATAATGACGAATCAGAAATGTGGAAAATGTGCGATTAATCTATCAGCTATTTAGCAGAAAATATACCACAGAATTTAAAACTTGATATTTTTAGTTTTAGAACTAAAATAAATGCGGAAATTTGAATTCGTTTGGCTGTTAAAAAATAGCTTACTATGTTGTGGGTCCTTTTTGTATAAAAGATTGCTGACATCATAATAAAACAAAAGACCCTTGTCCACTTGGCTTGAGGTCTTTTGAGGTGGACAATACCCTCTGAGATGCCCGGAAATGAGAGACTCTTGTAGAGTGTGCTTCGATTCGCATACTTATAAGATCCTTCAATCAAGTGCTCCTGCAAAGTAAGGAAAATTGTTTATTAATATAAACGCTTAAATTTGTCGTTCGAGTTCCGCCTGAGAAGGCTGAACGAAAATAGCTGAGCACCGTGGGTGGAGGTGTGGATGTGTGTGGACAATTCCACCTCCATCGGGATGAACTGGAGTACTTGATCTCAACAATTCGTTGTAAGGTGGATCTCGCTGACCCAAAAAAGCCGCCTCAAACGTGCTAATCTTCCCACCCCTAAATTTTTTTGATGTTATCAGTACTTGGGCTGCCATCCGCCCTTTCACCAACTGATTTGTTCTGGGTGCGCATCAGTCAACTTGACGAGGGGCTTCTGCAGTTAAACTCGCTTTGTGGGGTGGACACCCTCGAAACACCTCGGCAGAATCAATCAGTGCTGAACATATAAGGATTAGAGACGAGTGAAAAGCAGCAGATGTGACCAATCACATGATCCCCTACAGCTTTTGTCGTCCAGTAAGTTAATGAGCATCTGCACATACTTTTACCGCATCTATTGCATGACACATTGAAAGAGAGAATTTAAAGTTCGGAATGCCTACCTGATTATCTGAAAAGCTGTATTTTCTTCGATTGTATCTGAACCAAATACGACTCGGTGTGACTGCTGCTGGCCACCACCTTTGCAAATCCATCGCGAATTCGTGGTCCTCGATGGGTCTTTCTGTAAGCCCACACAAGAAGGAGGTGGAAAATTAAGTAGGTCTATACAGAAGGTACTGCCAGGAACACAGTAAATGTTTTCTTTTCTCCAAGCGCAGTGTCAAGGTCCTAACCAAAAAATCTCTCCTGAGTAGGAAAATCTCCAATGGCAAAATGCGGGATTTGTAAATTTATGTCCATCCCCTCGCCTAATCATTTATCCGTCTACCCAATCAATCAACCAACTACTTAGACACTTAATCGTTGCTTCATCTATCTTTACTCAAGCCGCAATCCAATCATCCGCCTTATTCAAACGCGACAGAACTGGAATTTCTATGGAATCGGCAGATCCATTGAGAAAGGTTAGGTCACTGCGAACCCTACAAAGACGTAATGAGGTCGCAGACGGTAAAAACAAAAGAACAAACCCCCAAACATTACCCTTTTACATCGCTAATTTAAATACTTTCAGTAGTTTAATGGTTTTTTCAAATAAAATCCATCTTCGAGTGCTCAATTGTTTCCTTCTCCTCTCCTTTCCCCGATTTTTTGGATCCACGTTCGTAATAATAGCTTTTAGACATGCCTGTTACTAGTAGGTTCTTTTGTGCAAGATAACAAATCTTCTTTCCTACTTGTAATGCCTTATCGCGACGTCAGGGAGAACTCAGACTGCCATACATGTATGGATTGCTACTTAATTGCCATTAAGTGGAATGAAACTCTTTTGGTAAATATGACTTTTCAAGATATTTTGTGATTTATAAAAGCTGAAGAAATATCAACAGTACAAAAATCAATACTTTTTTTAAAAATAAATGGAAATTCACACATAAAAATCCTTTCCCTCCTCTTTTTTTAGAGGAAAGAGCAGGTAGATTTCACAGAATTCGGTTTAGGATTTCTGAATGAAATTTTCACATATTTTGCAAGGACATGAATAAATGTATATGGAACAGGCCTGGCATGCCAAGGAGAAAAAAGTAACTGGAAATTTGATCAACCTGTGTACATTCTGTCAAAAATGATTGAGCTTTCAATTTAAAGGATGAATTTATTTATTTAATAAAACTAAAAAAGTAGACCACCGTGTTTAAGTAGATTGAGCATCGACTGAGTTGTAGAGAGATATGAGACTGAAGGATGGGAAGGTAGATGGATAAATTGACAAAAAGATGGTTGGATGGATGGATGCGTGAGATCTTCACTTTAGCCTGTACTTTTCCAAATGACCTCACACTTCTAAGATTCCAATCAGTCAGCTTAACTCAAAAACACCTTTTACAGAACTCACCAAATCCAGGGAGGTCCCCGCGCTCTTCAAATAGTTGCCAGTGGATGATTGAATCGTCTCTGTGATTCTTCTCCAGCATAATTTCACATACCTCCCCAACTCGCATCTCATCACTGACCATGACGGTCTTATAAGCGCGATCTTGGTTGTGAACTTTCATTATTACCTATTTTATTTTGTTAAAGAGTTTTTTAACAAAAAGTAAATATTTAAAATTAGGCTATTTACATATAACAACCAAGTGCTACTGAAATGTTAATCAGTAATATAACAATAAATCCAATTATGTGATTTTACTGTACCTCCAAAGGATAGAAAGCATATTTTTATCTCAACTTAATACACAGACGCACAAATATGCGGATAAACACGAAAGAGTTTAATAAAAGAACTATAAATATTAACTGAGTTACAAAGACAAAATAAAATTTATTTGTAATATTGATGGAGAGATGAAATTGTGAATTTAAAATAAAAAGCAGATAAGTAGATCTGAAGTGTTTAAACTGGTGAATGTAGACTCCTGGATTAAAGAGGTGGGCAAAATGGAGAGATACAAACCAGAATGAATGTCGCACAAATTTCCACTTTCACACCTCACACCTTAGATCGTATTTTATTGATAATCACAGTAGCTGTTGGAATCAAATTTTACGGTTATTTTTCTACACTCCACGCTGTAATACATGCATTTGCTTACTTATTCATCTCCGGGTAATTAGCTCATTGAGGTACAGCCAAATATCCACCCCTGCGACCAAGTAAACAGTTAAACCCATATCTTAGAGGCAGGTCAGTGTTGAATGAGTACCTTTGGTTTTTTGACGCCCACTTCCAGAACACAATTCTAAATAAGCATTTATGTGTAGGCGTGTAAATTTTTGAAAACATTCCTTAAAAAACGGTAAATTATACATGGTTTTATCAAGTGTTTGCACTTGGCTGTGGAAGGTTGGGCCGTCCCAACGACCTGATCACATGCTGTCAACTGTTACTGTGTGTTAACGGGTTCAAAGTCCACTTCGTTGAGTGACTGTCTCTTCAAGTAGGTGTTTGACTTTCATCATTTAATGTAATTTAAGGTTACCGGAGTACGATAATGCCAGTCAAAAATCCCCCTTCCCTAAGAATAAAAAATATTCCAGTTAAAAGTAGGATCGAATGGAAGAATGGGTAGAAGGATAGGTGGGTGGATGGAAGGATGGTTGGATGGTTGAATGGATGGATAAGAAATGGATGGGTGGAAGTATAAGGGATGGGTAAAATCCACCTTTACTTGTCAGTACTGCTCACCTTTCCCTCGCTTTCCTGGCATTCCGGTCCTGACTTGGCATCAAAAACACTCCACACACAACCATTATTGCGCTGGAATAATGGGCATCGTTTAGTTGAAAGTGTCCCACTCTTGTTAACTGGAAAAAACCCAAGCAGAAAGTACAAATTATCTGAGTAAACAACCTAGAAGGCGAATAAATAGAATCTTAATTGCGCAAAATAATAAAGTTACTTGATATTTCAAAGCATAAATTTTGGCTAACCCACCATTTCGGACCCCTTGCTGCACCCTTGAATACTGAGCCATGCCCCATATCATCAAGTCTCTTTTATGGTTGGCAGGGGCTACATTTAAGGTAGATTAACTCCCCCCCAAGGCTTAAGAAGCTCTTGGGAGAGGTACAAGCGAGCCCATTTGTTGAAATTTCTTCAAGCAATCCCCTCATCATCCAC